TCTCAGTTCCAGTGGTACCCATCATTCTTGCACATGCTGGTGGAGTGAACGAGATTGTGCCTCCCTTTTTACACATTAATAATCCTTAACATAGCGCATCCCTTTCCAGTAAGAAGAGAACCACCCCTGTCCTACATGGTATCAACCCCCACTTTCTTAGTCTATTTTATTGCTTTGTCATCTATTAACATTTATATCACATTGGTAAGCATGTTACAACAGACAGACTTCCTATAATGTTACTGGAAAATATATCAGATATGAAAGAGGATGGAAGAGGTCACTTATATTCAGAGATAAGATCAATACAAATAGCATGATATGAATGTGCTATTGTCTGTGTAATGAACGTGTATCTCTCTGATAGATGTGGATGCCACCTTTGACCTACTTCAAGAAGATTTGTTTTATCTTTGTTGTATTATGTGTAGCTTCTAAGTATATTCTGTAGTTAAGTAGTTTTTATTAATAAATGCTCAGTGAATCCATGTAGTGAATCATGAATTGACATCCCAGTCAGCTTTTCTCAAAATCACAGACATGTTGTAGAATTCAGTGCATTTTTATTGGCCAATACAGTACTTCTCAGTATTCTCAGTATTTTCTTACCATTAAATTTTATGCCTGTATGTTAGCTCTTTCACAATCCTGTAAATCATGTAGGTTTGTGGACAAATGTGCCTTCATTTGAATGATGCATGCTTGGATTAGATCTCATGGTGGGAAGTAAACTAGATTCTAAGGCAGCACAGTTGTAGAGACAGTATAAGGACCATTCATTTCAATGCCAAAAACCCATTAGTAGCTCAGCTTGTTTCAAGGTCTAGGAAGATTTCACATCATGTATCTTCATCATTGGAAACAGTTTACAGTGAAGGATGGGAGTTTAAGCAGCACATTTCAGTACCAAGGACATCACTAATAGGCTTTTCTGGGATCAATAAATCTCCAGGTCTGTCACTGTATACGTGCGATCTACGTGTATCTAAACAGTTGATTTAACAACCTCAACCTCCCCCTACCACAAGTCTTCTGGTCTGTCCCTATTTACTGGATAGTGTGGTTTGAATATAGACCCAGTGCAGCACGCACCTTGTATTTATTCACAGTCAAGTCATGAATCTGCTTTAGAATAGAAAAGAAGGCAAAGTGTTTGCACTTGATTGCATCTAGAGCTTAATCACCAATGTATTTCAATTAGTGAAGCTGAATTTTATCAAATTTAGGAGAGGACAGCAGTCATTTATCTTCTTCTTTATTTTATAATATAGAATGTGAGAAAGGATTATTCAATTCCAATAAAATCTTTCCATATACCATCTACTGTATATAGGGCTCTAGGAGTGATTGGCATTTTCTACAGCTTGAAGTTTTATTGGAGTAAAAGAGACAGGAATATGGGCCAACCTCCATCTCTTTACTAGAATCATTGACATGACTGTTAAGTGTATTCTGACAAGAAGTTTTATTGGCACACTGGAGAGTGTTATGGAATCTAGAGCTTATTAGATTGCTTGAAGAGGAGATTAGTTTATGTGTCAGAAACTGTTCCCACATCATCTATATTTCTTAATTACAACAAAACGTGTCCAACTTTGATGACATTACTAGCTGCAGAATGTGGGTAAATGCGGTTAAGTGTGAGCTTTCCCAGCACTACTAGGAGCAAAGTTCAGCTATGTGTGTAAAGGTCCTAGTTTGCTTTTATATCCTGATTAAGTTCTTTGTAATCACCACTAAAGTAGATTATCTGGGAAATCCAGATTTGTGATAACCTTGATGCAATTTACTTTTCACACTGTAATTGTTAGGCCTGTAGGATTTAATGTTGCATGCAGCTATATTTCTTGTCTTGAACATTTATCTTTTGGAACATGCATGCTTTAAATATCATAAAGGTCTAGTGTTGAAGGTGAAAGCATGCTGTGGCATTAACAAGTAAATAAGTACTCAACCTTGAATATAATTATATTAGTCCTGCAGATTTCTTGCTCACATATTTTTATTGTAACTAAATTTAAGACAGACAGAACATTAGATGTGTTCTGATATACCATGTTCCAGTAATGAAATAAGTTTGGAATGTTGGCTTTCATTCCAGAATAATTGAACCAAGTACATTGTAGCAAACCAAGGACATTATAATTTTTATATAGAATGTCCTTGAGCGAGCCAATTCTACTACTTTAAGAAAGTTTTACAAAATGCATTGATATACAAAGATTCAAGCTGCAAGTTTGGGATTGTTTTGCACATTTCTGTTTTGTCAGAATAAGAAGTAAATTGTGGAAAATACAGATGTACGTACAGATTAAAAAAACTGATGTAAACTACAGCACAGAATACAGTCTGTACATTTGTTTCAAAATCAAGTCAGTCCATTAAAATTCGCAGTACCTCCAGAAAAGAGGTTGTTGCACTCAATCCAGACAGGCATAATTCCTCCATTTCTCCTGATGGGATCAGGGTAAGTCCACCTGTGATGTCGGCGTATTGAAGAAATACCTCCCTGATGGATGGCACGGCCCATCAACTTCAATAGCAGGACGAGCCTTAAAGTTCAGGGATTCTGCCAAGGCCAAATTGTTCCAAGGAAAGTGGAATGGCCTCTGTCAGCTGAAGACGCATTCATCATCCTCTTACTCCTGGATTCCCATTAAAGTTTGTCGCCAGTTTTGGTAGAAGACGCTTGAGAAAATCCAGTGGGCTATAGTTTACTCACCTTAAGAATAGTTTGAAAGAATAGTTTGAAAGTCATGAGAAGACTTGTAGATTTCCATGACTTTGATGCATTGGTGAATATGGCTACAGTTAAAATTTCCGGATGCTAATTTGTCTTGTCTTGTTGTGCCTGATTGTCCCATGGCAAGTACGCTGTGATGTAGTGTAGGTGTCATTCAGACATGGCTGGAAGGAGTTCGGTGTCGTCCTAGACAGATTTATGTGTCTGCAAATGGGACAGTGGTGCAGCTTGTCTATTACATTATTTAGTGGTCCTGAAAATCGGTCTGAAGCAGTTTCTCTTGATAGATGGTAACAAGAATGGATGGAGAAGTGCAAACCATCCAACTTACATGTACGTATATAAGGAGACTGACAACATTCCTCTATATTGTACGGGTTTAAAAATAGATAGAAACGACAAGGAACATCAAGGATAATAGGTAACATTTTAGATGAAGCAGGGTAAATCAATTCTCTTTTGATTATTTTATTTTGTTAGCAAGTTTATTCCATCTTTTTTCTTGAACCCACTTGACTGGCATTAAAAACCTAAATTACTGGTAAATCAATCAGAGTGAAAAGCGGGGAAAGCCTTTGTTTTGTTTCCTGTATTCTGTGCGGCCCCGCCTGGTTAATCCTATACCCGGGCGGATGCAGCCCTATCTCCCGTCCTCACCTGTTGCAGCTCCGCCGCCGTGACAGGCATTAGTAATAGAGGCTGGTTTCCATGTAATGGGATTGTGGTGCTATCGGTCTGTTCCACAGGCATGTTCAGGCACCGCAACGTGCCACTAGATTTCCAATCAACTCCACCCTCCGGGACCCAGCTCCCTGAAACCCTCGGAGAATGAAAGGATGATAAGAGAAGTAGGGACTGTATCTTTAAGCTTTCTGCCTCTGGCAATGGTCATGGTTTAGATGTATCTGTGTAAAGTGTCTCCAGTGGTTAGGTCTTATTTTCTTGTGTTTGAAAAGGTTTGGGTTGTCTATTATAATAGTTTTCAAAGCGCATTTGACCTATAGAGCAGGAACTACAGGTGCAGTGTCCGTGTCCCAGTACAGTTGATTGAAAGTGTACAATTGGAGCAATCATATCCAAGGCCAGCCCTGAGGATGCAATATATTACAGGCCAAAGGTGCCATGTAGTATCAAAGGAGACCACTATTGCTTTGCACTAACCTACTTTGTACATGTGAACCCATCTATCAAAGAAAAACTGATTTGTTGCTGACAGGTGCTATATAACAGTATGTCAAAGCACTATGGTCAGGTTAGGTAATAAATGAGGACTCACACATGGAGGTCATGAGGTCTTTCATTTAGTGTTAAGACTTGGAATGCCAAATTAAAGCGAACACAACTGTGAGAGGAATGAACTCATCTGTGTAGGAGATATCAAACATCATATTGGGATTACCTCATTTATATCAAGTACTAGAAATCTTTTGAAAAGTAAATCAATAACTAATTAAGATGGTACTGGATTTGTTTCATTGCAAACAGATTTTATCTAGATATATAATCAGTCCCGTAAACTGCGGACTCTACATGTAATTGTTGGGGAGTACATCTATATGTATCTTTAGTGATCTTTAATTCTAGTATTTCTACCATGAATGCCCAGGTTATTCCTGGCTGTCCCGGGTTGCTTCTAGTTGCCACAGGTTGTCCCTGGAGCTCAGGAACAACCATATCAACTGATTGTTCCTTATAGACGTTCGGAATTTGTCTCAGAAATAACATTAATACCTAAGGACTGGTTAGGCCCTGATTCTTATCATTCTAGAGGATATTGAAACCTTCTCAATTTCCAGCCCTCTAGCAAAACAGACACTTAGGAAATGAAACAAAAAAATCACTTGATATGATCAGTCCTTGATGGACACTGTTGAGTAGATAGTCCTTGTCTGTGAGTTTTGGCAATAGTTAATGATGAAATAGAAGCCACTGCACTTTATAAAGCTACCAACATGTAAACAACCATCTGACCTTGTTTGACATTTGATGACAAGCTATGATGGACATAGGTATGTGCCTGCACCTCATGTAGTGTGTTGGTGTAGAGAATGATGAATAGTTAGATGTTATCACCATGTCAGTATTGTATACCTGCCTGCTAGAACTTTGTATTTTCAGAAAAACATTTGTTGCATTGTTAGTCTGTGATATGGTCACATTGCTCAGTACACTTCATCTTTGATAGGTGATACAAAATTGTTCAATAGTGCTGTATTAGGATTGTGCACTGATGTGCTATTTGTTGTTGGTCCTGCAGAGCTGGAGGCTGATGAGTGGTGTAAAGTGCTGTACCAGGAGTGTGTGTGTTCACGACCAGACGGCATCAGGAGTGGGGAACCTGACCTGCTCACCAACGGGGCACAGAGGGACCATAATGGTAAGTCTAGAATTCCATTTTCCATCTTTCATGTCAATATATTCATTGCTTGGGATGAGTATCGTGTTGAATAATCCAAGTTTTTAGTGTTTTTATTCCACATTTGCTACTGTCTAGAACTGAAAAGCCATTAGGCCTTCCATTTTTAGTACAACCCGAGTCAGTATGAAACAATAGTCAATAGTAGGTCAGGATCATTAGGATTAGCATGGCCGTCACAGTACTCCCACTCATGTGTTTTGTCCCTCACCTTCACCTTCTCATGAAATATGTTCTTGTAAAACTCCTGACGGGCAGATTCTCATGGCAAATGAACCTCTGGAAATTGAGGATTTGAACCTCAGGCTATGATCTAAATGGAAGGAAGTCAGGCATACTTTATCTGTCAATGTCTGGATGTGGAGAAAAGAAATGCTGATGTTTAAAGTCTTGGATTCTGAGTGGTATGGCTGTAGTTCTTTTGGTTTCCCTCTTGAGGTCTGCCCCATGATGTAACCCTTCCCCTAATCTGGGCAGTGCATCAACTGTCTCTCTGGAAGGCCTTTCAGCACCACCAAGGTCACATTGAAAGTTAGCAGCACTGACAGGTCATGGTTGCCAGGCAATGATGGATGACCTTGTTTTAAGACTCTGGTACCAGCAGATCTATTCGACCTGGAAAATGTAGATAAGCCCTGTGGGTACCACTCACGCATGCATCACACAACTCATCAAATGTAATTCATTTATAGAAGGTTTGACATATGTTTGAATGCAGCAAGCCAAAGCTGGGTTCATTTGTTGTAGATCTGCACACAGAGAGATGTGTACATGTAGGTATGCATTAGAAGCCTTTTATTTTGTTGGAGAATTTAACATTGTTTGTAGGTAGACTACTAGACTACCAGATTGAAGATGGGCCTAACAACACTAAGGTTTAGTCCTGCCAAAATTATTCTACAGTATATATATTTTATGTAGAACCTGTTTTGTTGTAGTGACATTCATGTTTTTTTCCTCCTGTAGAGCGGTTCCACGTGTTCCTTCTTCAGAACCCAAACCTGGACATATTCGGGGAGTGTCTCCTCCAGGTGACACATGAGAACCTGTACCTGTGGGACATCCACAACCCCAAACTCAAGCTGGTGACCTGGCCACTCACGGCCCTCAGGAGATACGGCAGGGACCAGTCAAGGTTCACCTTCGAGGCAGGAAGGTGGGTTCTGGTGTGCAAATGGCATTTCAAAATTGTCCACACGCACAAATGTTTTGAAACTGGTGACTTACCAGTACAAAATAATAAACCGTAAAATCATAAAGACTGTTTGTGTTTATCCCCAGATCATGTGACACGGGGGAGGGATTGTTCACCCTGCACACCAAACAGGGGGAGCACATCTACCAGAAGGTTCATCACGCCACCCTGGCCATCGCTGAGGCGCAAGAGAGGATGATGAGGCTAGAGGAGGAAAGAATAGCAAGGGTAAGACAGCTACTGAAATCTATTAGTAGGTATACATTGCAAGCTTTAAAATATTAATTTTGCCCACAGTGCCATACAAATTGTTGAATACTAAAAGTTCTTACATAACTGGTTATAGAATATTGTCATGTGTAAAGCTTGGATCTTTTGAAAAGTGTCTCTATAGGACTGACTGTCTCTAAGACTGACGACTGTCTCTAGGACTGACTGCACAAAGTCTGTGACACTCCAGTTTCTTCACAATTTGCATCTGAATATGAATTTATTACTTACTTCAGCGGTTATAATGAGAATGAAAATTAAATCACTTCTGGGCTTGTTTGAGTGGGACCTGTTCTAACGTGATTTAGAGTTATCTGTGACACAGGAAGAGGAGTCAATTAAGATCCCTCTTCTCCTAGTTGGAGATCTATTGAGATACGGTATCAGTACCTATTGGTCTGAGCGTCTGTCCTTGAATGTTATACAGTCTGCGTTCAGATGTTGGCGACACAAAGCTTATCTCCTATATCTGTCTGAGCTTGCCATTGATTCGGGCGGCAAATTTTATGGAGATGAGGAAATTGGGTTGGTGCCAAATTGAAGCCCCAGGCATCAAGCTAGTCTGATGTTGTATAGACAGCCATACTATGTGCCATTACTCTGAGTAGGCTTGGACCTGTTGCAACATAATGCATACATAACGTTCCTGTAATTATCCTCTATGACAGCATTCAAGGGCAATGCCATAGACACTGTACTGAGCTGACTTACAGATTTATCTTCCATATATATGTGACCTTTTCTTTACAAGTCTCTTATTTTGTGTAGGTCATATCCATAAAATTTTAGAAACAGGATATGTTTTGTTCTTTTATGTTGGAATAATAAAAGATTGGTAACTTCAGCCCAGTCTATCCTCCCTTGATAGTCAAAGCATGCTTCTACTGAATTTTCAATTTGTTCACTACATGAGAACTGGATAAAGTCTAGACTAAAGTCTTTATTTTCAAGGACAAAACAACCCTAGTGTAAAACAATCCTAGTATAATGTGATGGCCTCATGCATATGTAGTCTATCTTGTTTGATAACTTATGTCATGTAGGTACAAATTGTAACATTACAGTGTTTGATATACTGAGTGAATGGGAACTTGTCAGCCTATGCATGTTGTTCCAACCCAGTTGCTGACCAGTTTTCCCTTCCAGTTACAGCAGGAGTCCAGACAGAGACAGACGCCTGTCAGTCATCGTCGGCAGGCCAGTTTGACAAGATACATCCAGCCGTCATCATCCAACCATTACATCTGTCAGAGCAGGTCAGGAGTCTCTTCTGTTACCCTCCAGATACTGTATAGAATGTGAGGAAAGTGCACATGTGTTAGGGGCGGCCAGTTGTAATTTTGATGTGATCACGATGATCTTTATTCAGATACATGTACTACGGGGAAGGAAAAGTGTCTTACCAGCCTGCAAAACACATGGTGTGCACTGGGTGTAGCTTTGTTGTACTGACTGTAGATCTGGTATGATATGACATCTCGAACATATTCTATTGTGCTGTAGTGTACTGTAGTAAACCTGCTGCTACAGTACTATAATCCATAGAAAGACAGAACAGTTTCTATACTGAAACCTCATTCCTCTTCAGTTTGCCGGAATACAACAACATCTATGAGGAGGCCCTGAACGTCAGATTCGGAGGCCCGCCCAATGTGGTGCCGACTTCAGCCCCATCCAACATCAGGTCCCACATAACTCGATCTCCCAGCAGCCCCCATACCTACGTACCAGCAACAGGTGAGGTCCTGCTTTTTTTCTCGTCAGGTTTTGTACTAATTCTTGATTTGCTTTGGAGAAGATTAAGGTATCAGTGTTGCAACCTGGTAAACGGTAAATTTCAGTCTTTCATGCCGTAGAATCCTTTATGATATTTGTGTTAAAGTACGTGAGACAGAGTGTTGTAAGAACAGTCTCTGTTGCTTGTTTGTTTGTTGTACAGAGCCATCTCTTGATACATGTAAATCTGAATCTCCAATGTTTTTTTCTACCCATCAGATCAGTCAGATCTAGACACGTATGAGGTGCCAGTCGACTGTTTGTCCTCATCACACAATGCTTTATACGAGTGTCCAGCAGAGGAGACCAGTAAACAAAGGGTCATGTGGGAGTCCAACTCCTCAGAACCTCTCACCCCCAATGGGAATGAACATTTCACAGACCTGGGCAGGTTAAACCTGCTAGAAGGTATGGAAAAATTTTGTGCTTTACCAAGATAGTGTTTCATGTGATTGCCGCTTAATACTCCTCATGATTCAAACTCACATGTAACAGATTCCCTAGTTACGAATACAGAAGATTTGTAATGATTTGCCCTAAATAGCCTGGCTTCTCAATCTAGCCCGGTGATTGGGAAATCAGATTGCTGTGTTGAACCCCTGGCAGATCTAGAGATACTAGAAATTGGCAATCAGTTGGATTCAAACAAAAATCTCATGAGGACAGGAAAGACCCTTTGGACTTAGCTGCAATAATTGAGAGCAATCTACCAATGTTGCTGTTTTAAAGACAATCTGAGTGTCTCTCTCATCTGGTATCTTAATCGTAAGAGAGTTAAAGAGGTTGATGAAGGGCTTGGCCATCAAGGTCACTTTTACACTGTAAATTTGTCTTTTAGTGTAATACATGTACCTGGTATGAAAAGTAACATTCTTATCATAGGTCATGATTCGCATGGTTAGACATTTCTGTTTAAGTTTGTCTTGCTGACTTTATACAAGGATCAAAACCAGAAGTACAACTGTATCTGGACAAAAATCTTGGCCTCGTAATAAGAAAAGGCTTTGTGCAGCCCAGCCTTTCATTGGGAATGACCTGAGTTTCTCTGTGTCTTTGCTAAAAATCTTGATTGCCATTATATCTCATCAACTGATATTCTTTTCAATCATTCAAATGCTGGTTGTATCAAAGTAAGCTCATACTATCATACCTTGTTTGTAGTTCATGCAGCATATTTTGAGATCAATAAAGCAATTTTACTCAATGTACCTCATACAATGTAATTACTTGAGGTATCTGAGATCATCCGCCCAAACTGTGTAGTATGTTGGCCTATGATAGATAATGCATGCCTTGGAATGTGGATATAATTTCCAAGGTGAAGAACTGTCTGTGGTCTCTTGATATAATTTTAAATGTTGCAAGGAGACATTTGAGACCAATATTGAGTCATGCCTGGGGACTTAATGTTGCAAAACCTGATAGTTACGTTCTATCAGCTTTCCCATTCTCCATTAGATACTGCAGTGCATAACACTGCACATTGATTCGGAGGGCAGTAGATTTGTCTTGAGGTACTTGACTAGAATACAACATGCAAAGGAGGCAAACCAGCCGATTATAGACTTGATGAATGGGCGTGTAAAGTGTTGAAAAGAGAATAGATTTCCCAAAGGTGGTATGTGAACGATATTTTCCTCTACTTTTCCGTACGCAAGACACGAAAATAAATGAAGCGATTCGCATCATTCGGCACTACCTGTCGGCTTGCTTTTCTCTGTTATATTTCACTGACGGAATCCATCCTTTCTTTTGAGACATTAATGGAAATGAGGCTTGCATGAATGCAGGATCAGCAAACAGTGAATTTGTCAAAGTCAAATCTAACAGGACTCAGTCACGCTCTGCTGGTTCCACTTCAACCAACTAATGTTATCCGGCTGACTGAACATTTCTGAAACTAAACTTGAATCACTGCTATAACTCACCATTGTTATGGATACAGTATGTGTAACTGAGGCTGTACCAGGCCATATGTCAAAGAACTTAATGTGGTTGTTATTCAATAAAATCTTTTATGAGACTTACATTTATGTTTTACGAGAAGAAAGTAGAAATCACCCAGAAATACTGCTGAATATGAAGTCAGTTGCAGGAATAGAGGACCAAAATTTTGCCAGCATGCTAAAAGTTAGAGTGCATTTCAATCATATATCATGATACTCTCACAATCCAATACACTTATACAGTAAGGGAAATTCTAACAGGAGCTCAAGCCATGATCAATATATTATGTCAATGGCATGAAGCCAAGTTTTAAAGCATTTGGTATCAAAGATCATAAACAAAAAAGCATCTTGCCTACTGTACTTTATTCATGTTTTATCTGTTGCACAAGAGAAAGCTTCTCAACTTTATATCAGAACAGTTAAAGTTATATTCCAGAAGTCTGAAGTTCTGGTAGCCGTGTGCATCAGATTGGTAATGTTAGCAGTGTAGCGTTACTAAAGAGAACAAAATCAATGAACGTGAATGCAAAGGTGTAATCTTGCATTGCCCTCGCACAAAGAGCCAATTCTGGTAGAGATGGGCCATTAAATGAGGGTTGTAGTCAACGATTACTGTGACTACAACGTGAAGGGCAATTAGGGAAGAGGTCATTCGTTGTTACCTTTTAGAAGTTCCTTGTGGCGGTAGGTTGTTGCCCTCCACAAGGTTGTTGCCCCATGACAGTGTAAGTATAGATCAATGATGGGGACTTCAAGTGCATAGTTAGTAAACTGATATTACTTATGGCAATAAAATATTCTACTAAGATTTTTCCTCTGCCAAATATTTGAATATCATTGATGTTTCATTGATCTCTGATAGATAAAGATATCTATTGGGACATAGCCAACGTTGTGCATTTCAATAGCAATAAAGATATCAATCAATGTCCTATACTATAGTTCTTCCATTTGGCTTACAGATAAGATGGCCTTTTCAGTAAAAACTTGTTTTTCTGTTACAGATTCAAGAATGCATAACTATGTGAACGTCGGAGGAAGTCATCAGGGTAAGACAATCCTGGTAATACTTTTCAGTTCTGTTCCACTAGAAGTGTAGTTTCTCATGCACTTTTAGTGGACAAAGACACAAAAGCAAAAGATAAACTAGTCTTTATATTCTGCTACAATCTCTATACTATACTGTTTCATCAGTGAGTGCAATACTTTACCATACTTCCACCTGAGTTCAAGATGATAGAAATAGTTGCACACATCAGCACTATATAATTGCAGTTTTAGGAAAAAGTTTTTTGTACCGGCACATAATCTATGAAATATTCTAGTTTATGTTTAACCTTCTTGCTGAAATGTAGCTCTGACATGTGTCCTAACATTTGGCCTGGGGTAAGCTTAACTGCAATGTACGGTTATCTCAGAGTTTCATAAGGGCACTTATCAATGTCCATGTGCACTGACAATGTCAGTCCTGGACAAAATTACATACATATATTCATCTTTGAAGGGAAAAATGCAGCATGCGGTCATGGACATTATCAATTTTACTAGATTAATGGCAGAATAATCAAATAATAATAATGAATAATAGATGTCAATATATTCCCTTAATTCATGCAATGTGCATGAAAAGCAACTTTGAATACATGTAGATATGTGGAGTGACCACCTGTATTTTTGTTTCAGGAGGAGTAAGATCCACATGTACAGACAACACCAAGGCAACAGGATACAGCAACTGGGACTTCCCATCCCACCAAACAGTAGATCTCTGTGGAGACCTGGAACAGTTTCACCAGAAGTACCTGACTGTTTCCAAATTTTCAGCATGACAAAAGACAAAATCTGGATCTGCATCTTGCTCTATTTAAACGACCAGTGAAAGTATTATTGTATTGACAACCACCCCATCCTTTTTATGATGAATTGTTGGGGGTGACAACAGGAAGAAAAGACTTGACAAAGTTTTGCAAATTCTTGAGATCTGATCTTTCAAAGAGGACAGATGACTGTCAGTGGTGTGGAAGCAAGAGGAGCTACACACAAAATTGTGGTTTGGTTAGAAAAACAAGAAAACCCAGCCTTCAGCACCAAGGACAGGTGCCATGTACAGAAGCAGGTGTTTTAACACAACCTTAAAGATTAGATTTCCATGGACGTTAAGGAAGTTTATAAGGTTGTAGGTGCACAGTGATGATGATGATGGTGATGCACTAGTATATGTGTTACAGACTGCAAAACAGAAATGGGCAAAACTTTCGCACATTCCATTGTTCTAAGAACATATTGGTGTGCCTGTGTCTTCTGGATGCAGAGAACAAAATATCTTCTATATGTCACATGCAAATCAGCATGTGTCTTTCAAAAGTAAGGCACAAATATCTTAACTTTGGCTGCTGTGACCAGTTTTGGCATCAAGACTTTGGCAGTGGATTAAAAGTTTCACACAACATACACTTGTTCTTGTTCATCTGTCATTGTTGATAATGACAGCACCGGGCAGTCTCACACAATGACTGATTATAGGAGAGGGGTGGATTGGAGGTGGATGTACAGTTTGTGGTTGAAAATGTACAGCTTTCATTGGTTGGAGAAGATTGTTGATATACAAGAGCTGGTTTGGTCCAAACCACAGGGTACTACAATGGTCGAGATAAATATGATAAGGGATACCATGCATGTGTAATCCATGGCAGAATGCCACATTACCTGGAAAAGGGATTTAGGCTGAAGCTATGTGCCAGTATGGATCTTTTCAGAGAAGGATGATTTATTGGATGTGAATTGTACTAGTGTGTTGTAACATCAGTGTTGTTTGTTACATTACCCAGCAGACATTGATACCAAAACATGTCACTAATGTGTTGCAATAGATTTTGTTTCCATCATGGATGTTAATGTTAAGTTCAAGGTAAATGAACAAGTGTTCCCCAGACAAACATGTTTGGCACATTTTTGTTGCGCCACAGCTTTGCCAGTGCCAAACTGTAAAGTGCAGACAATTTCCAGTCTTCTGTTCAAACTCCATGTATTGTATTTATTCTGATCATCAATTATAGCAATGGGGCAAGTATGACAATAGGCTTGTTGAACTTTAATGGTGAACATAGGCATATGGCAGCAATAGATTTTGTAAGATTATATGTAAATGATTCAATTGCCTCTTTGATTTTTTTCACAAGACCAGGTGGTGAATTTTAAGACTTAAGACCACTCATTTGTATTTCCATGTACATACTATAGTAGTTGGATTGTTTTAATTCCTATCATATTCAGCCAACATGTGGGTTAACCTTCTCCCTACCGAGTAATGGCTGCAACAGATACATCTCTGTAGAGGGAACCATCCCTTAGCTGACACGAGGTTAACCATCCCTTCTGCAGGGAGGAAGTCCATTTCTCAACATGCCCAGTCATTGTTATCATAGCCTGGTGTCCAGCCTTGTTAGTTCAGTCCATGCCCTAGGGAGCGGACTAAAGCTAACAAGGCTGGATACCAGACTATTGTTTTTTTATTCTCTGTAAAACCATTAGGGTCAAACCCCAGTACATTGTCTATACATTAGTTTAGGTGGCAGAACAAAGACTTGGACCAGATCATTTTACAGGATGTGGATGGTCCAGATTTGTCTCTCAGCTGGGTCTTTGGTTAAAATGGAATTGGAGGTATATTCAATTGGCAAAAACAAATCCAACACTCGAGTTGGATTGGTAAAGACAAAACTTTATTGCACCTCTTGTCTAAGTGTGGGGATGGCTTTAGTGGTTTATTGCTTTTAAATTTATGATAAGAAAACAGTAATGAATGAATGTTTTTTTCAAATTTCTTGAATGTGTTATCTGTGAGAGCAGATACTGGCTTTTTGGTCATATCAGACATGTAAGGAGGGTTGGTTGGTAATCTGATGGATTGTTTGAATGAATGATTTATTGGTACCGCTGTAAAAATGTACAGTGCCATAATATATATATTTATGTTCTTATCAAACAAAATGGCATGTTGGATGGCAATGTTAACATTGGTGTTTCACTAGAAGTGGCTATTCACTACTTCTGGTATTATTGAATATTTAAGTCTTATCAAGACATAGTGATAATAGCACAGTGAATTTTAACATCATGGTTATCTATCCTTACTTTAGGAAAGTGGGATAGCCTGTAATGTCTTACCCTGTACATATACCTTGTACACTGTTTTCTATAATATACATAAACCAATCTTGCTGAGTGCATTGGTCATTGTTTTTCGCTTCCACACAAAGGGCATGCATATTCAGAAACATGTTAATTGACTGGTTAATACCTTATGCTCTGGAGACAGTTCATTGTGTATTGGGAGATGTGTATTGGAAGGATATTGTATAGAGTGTTTCTGAACTTGAAGTAAACATGCGTACAGAATGGTCATAACCGTGTCTGTGTACCAAACAGAAAATTAACTTAAAGAAAACTGTGATATTTGAACTGCTATTGGAGGTTACAGAAGAGGCATGTATGCCCACCAGCTTTATACCTGTGAACATGACACTCTGAGGTCAATAAAGTAACTAACCAATGGGTACAATAAAAAGTTGCAGTGTCTCCCTTTTATTTTCCGGTTCAGGTTGGATATTGCAATGATCATTGTTTCAATCAAGTAACCATCAATCAATTGGGTTAGTCAGCCCGTCTCACCTAACTAATTGCAGCTTAACCATTATGATCATGGCAAACTTGCACACATTCCACACGGTTCAAAAGAGACACCATATGGCCAACTGCAGTACTGCAACCATATTGCAAATACATGTAGCTGACAGCAAACTCTTACAAAGGAGCTGCAAAATGAGCAAATATCTGTGATAAATGGCAAACAAAAACAAGAGTCCATTGGACATGGATTTCTAACACCTTTGGCAGAGTGAGCAAAGGTGTACCATGCCAACAAAATTAATCAACTTGATACAATCAGAATAAACACTTCATGCATGAAATGATGAGGAAAATGTGCAGTAATGACAGTAAATGTTGATATCAGACAGATTTCCTCACTAAAAGTGCATTTAAACACCGACAACTGTACATATAATACATGGATTTTCCTCAATGCTGCTTTATACAGCTCTAACTTCTCTGGCACAATTTTTAGATGTACACCGATCTTGTTGGTTCACAATTGTAACTACATACATGTATTCATATTTCACATTTAGGATCCTTTAGCAGTGACACAGATATCATGACTTAAGATATTGATAATACTGCAGTCTCAAAAGCCTGCCATTCTATCCTCCTTGACAAGCCCTGCCATAGTAGTCTGTTGATAAACAGCAGCTTCAAGGCAAAAACAGCTGTGAGTAGTTCAGTTCCTGGTACTGAGACACTGGTTCACCACCTCCAGCAGATGTTGGTTCTCCAGAGCTGCTGCAACCCTCTCTTTGTCTGCAAGCTGTTTGTTTACTACAGAGGAAAACAACAGGAAAACAGTAAGTCCATGCCCGATAATATTCATAAGATAAGATTAGCAATGAATTGCCACAATGGATGGTCAATAATATGTTGCTATGAAAGTGTGGGATATAGACACATACCTGCAAGCTCTGACTGGTGGGTGCCTGGTGTTATGTGTACATCAACCTATAGAAAACAAGAAAAGATCACAAAATGGTATGAACATGTGGATCCTTTCCTGGATCAGGAATACTAGCCTATCTGTTGACCTTCTACTTACTAAATTTTGGTTAGGACAGAGAGGAATGAATGTAATATAAAACTGACACAAGCTTTAATTTTCCTGATGAACTTCAATACCAACCCCTACAACTCTGACTCAGTCTAAAACAGAAAGTCAGCAGCAAAATATTACTAGAATTCTCTACAGTAAAGTAATTCTTTTACAGCAATATAATGGGAAGATGCAAATGAATGCCATACCTTGAACCTGGTTGGTAGAGCCCTGAGCAGCTTAACTCTGATTGACAGCCCAATGAGTGTGGCCATGCTGCAGTGTGGGATTGTGGGGGTGAACTCCACTGACACGTTGTTGTTGTCCTCATCAACCTGAAAAACACAAATGAAATTACTGAAGATAACAAGACTGCTACATACAACAAGCATGAGCCAGGAGCTGGAGATAGTGCTTAATCATAGACAAAAGTGATTGACATGATTAAATTCCACATGCATGTAACATTCTGACCAAATCAACCGACTTACCGTGATTCTGGACTGTTCAATAACATTCAACTCCTCCAAGGTCAGAGGATGTTCAGGGTCATTGATAGACCTGACAAGATGTGCAAGAGGAGTTAAGGAGCCAAGTTCTAGTCAGTGGATCACCAACCAAAGAAATGTAGTACACTACTGCAAAAAATCTACTAATTAGCATTACTTGGCATTAGTATAAGAACCTCAATCAGATTATATGCATCAGATTATTGGCTGGATCTTAGGTGTTGCTGTGCTGTATAAGATAGCTCGTTTTCAACTCTGACTGCAGGCACAGCCCCCTTTATACATAAAAACTTGGCATCTTTTTCAGCATATGCCCCCCTCCCACCCATGCAGCTCCGATCTATCCTGTATTATTGCCAGGTAACCAGTTCTCTGTGCCAGGAAAGGATATCGAAAATTTCCCTTGCATCAATCTTATCCTCCACATCGTCATCCAGCTCCTCTGGCGTCACTTCGCGCTCAGATGTGCGCCCGTAAAGTTGCGGGTTCGCATTCTGTAACCTTTCTTGGCTCGACATTTTGGAACGCGACATTAGTTTGTCTGGGGGGGCGAGGTCAAAGTTGAAAGTATTTTCTTGCAAAAATTTCGCTTAAATATGTAATTGTAGCAACAACTTAACATACTGTATCTTTCCTCGTAAAGTTAATATTGCTTATATAACGCCGGATTAGAACGCTTCGTTATGTTTGACGTGAACAGATAATACTTTTACACTATCATACCTTAAAGAGAATGGTCTAGCCCGATTTCCCACTATGCTTTGTAGTGTTTTGGCGATGGCGGAGATGGCGACAGTTGGGGAGGGTGGAGAGGGGGACGCCTCAGTTCTCCACCAAATCAAGGTTGTATAACAATCGTTAGACTACATAAGATTTCTGAATAGTTCTGTGCACCTGAGGAATATATCAGTGTCGAACACAACATGCTGGCATCAAGGCAACTGCATGAGGTTCTGTAACTTGTGCCAAGTCCTGCCTTGGAAACTTTCAGATATGAAACGGCTAACACAAATATTCAGTGATATGCCATATGATAAAAGCCTAAGGTTTCTAATAATATTGCTCTGTTATTTCTTACTATGAAGGACACGGTTGATAAACTGTACGAGTTCAGGGACCATTACTTTGAGCAACACGGCATCGATAGAGCAGCACAAAAGGCAGAGGATGTGAAAGCAGAGGTGTCAAAGGCCATGAAGCTACTTGATGAGTTACAAGGTGATATGTTTACCTTTTATCAATAGTGGAGGATTTTTAGTTCACATGCATAATTAAGTTACCACAACTCACAATCTATCTCTTCACTACAAGGTTTGTCTTTACGTATATGTTAGTGATTAAATGTACTACATGTAACATGTTAGCATTCATGTTGCAACTATATACCTTCTTATCACACAGAAACATGCCCCAACAAGGCACAGGTTTACATGCAGAGAGGCCGTGCCCTGAACGTCACCTCAGATTTTGACCCTGAAGCTCTGGACGTGCTGTCCAAAGCTGTGAAGCTCGACCCCTCCCTGGTGGAAGCGTGGAACAACCTTGGGGAGTGCTACTGGAAGAAGGGAGACGTGGAGGCTGCCAAAAACTGCTTCTCTGGAGCTCTTGCCAAAGTAAGATTTTATTCATCGTAAACTGATAAATCAAGCATTTTTATAGCCTCTACCAGATCTCAGAACCAGCAAGAAAGAGTAGAAATTGGCCAAATAAAACATGCTCCCAAGTGCCAAACTGTACTCCTTAGTGGACCAACTCCCCTGGCATGTTATTTGTCTATTTGACCAATTTCTACACTATCCAGCACATTTCTGAGACCTGAGAGGTGTGTTATGCCAAAGGGCAGTTATAGTGGCTATATAGATACAGATTTACATGTACATAACTAATTTCTCTAACAGTCCAGGAACAAAGTGTCATTGAGGAATCTATCCATGGTCTTACGCCAGCTCGGTACGGACCCTGTTGAACGACTCAAGAATATCCAGGAAAGTGTGACTGTAGCCAAGGAAGCTGTACAACTGGATGTCAATGATGGCACTTCTTGGTGTAAGATTTTGTCAATTTTTGTTGACAAATTTGGAAATGAGTCTTTAATGTCAAGAATGTTCTAACTGCTTGTTATTACTGGTGTGTGTGTTTTTGGGGGGTCAGGGGTAAAGAGTTTGTATGGACTTAAGGCAGTGATTGTATATCAAAGTTTGTAATGTAACATCTTTATGTTTTGTCCAGTCGTTCTTGGCAATGCCTACCTGTCAGTGTACTTCTCTGGTGACCAAAATCTACAGATTCTCAAACAATGCATGAGTGCATACAACCAAGCGGTAAGTATTTAGTGGAGCCTTGAGAGAATGATTATTACTCACAAACACAATAAAGATGTGCATTGTTTTTTTTTACTTTGGTGGACAATGTTAATATTCACTTATCCAACTATTATGAATATATATAACGTTACATTATATACAATGGGGTTGTCAACTAACAGCATTCTGTTATCATATTTCTGTACTTACACATGTAGGATAACACTGACATAGACGAAATTACATATTATATTCATTAATGATTAAAAGGTCTTATAATGTGGCAAGGTATACATGTGTTATAAATTATCCAGAAAAATCTGTCAAGACATTGAAGTTGTTTTCCTTCTATCTACAACTTTAAGCATGTCAAATGAATTAAGACATGTGTTGGTGTAACTTATTTAAGTAAATAATTGATGTGATATTACAGGCACATCAAATGGTGATAATGACATTTTGTCTGTCAACCAACTAGAAACCCTGGTTACTACGAACACTAGGATTACAGTGAAAAGTACTAGTACTCAAATGAGAACTTGTTCTGCTTACAATTTTTATGTCACACGTACAGCAACAGACTCTTTTTGTAGCCTGTAAGGTGACATTTTTCAGTCTGAAGTTTCATTCTCCATCCATGGCTGTAAGCACAGTTGACATGTCCTCAGTACTAGCCTGAGACCCTGCGGTGATATAGAAGTTATCATTTAACACCGAAGTTGGTTCAAGTTCCATGGGAGACTGAAAGTCTTTTGCCATCTCTTCACTTTGTGGTACCATGCAGCAGCACATTCTCACCAGGTGACCCCGAAGGCCTGTCCTGGGTAGCTGACTGTGGCTGATCATACTTGCAACCTCCAGTTGACTGATGTTTTGCTGTGCCACCTTTGCTGTAGCCACTTCTGTTTCGGAGTAGGGCGGAATGTTCCCGAGAACACTGTCAAGGCTCTCGCTGTCGTCCATTTCAGTGTAGTAGATGACCTTATCTTCGTTATCTTCCTTCAAACAGATTTCCTCTGAAACTTCCTGTTTTGATGTCGATCGGGAACATGTTGGTGATGAGATATTTGAACTATTGCCCGAACTAGGAGTAAGATGTACATTTTGTACCGTTTCTCTTGATGGTACGCATTCAGCTCCTTTTTTCACACCAATTTTTCTGACAATCCTTTTGACATTTGGTGTGAGATCACAGTGAAACTGCTTGCCTGGAGAATTACTCCCAGCTGTGTCTGCATCATTTGTGCTTGGTGCACTTACATCTTCCAGTGAAACATCTTGCAGTAAAGATACACACTTTCTTGCCCTCGACTCATTTTTACCTCTAGCTGTAGCATAAACCTGGTTGGCAGTGTTCTTGGTCCTTTTCCACATCCATCCTTGTTGAACCTCTTCCCGAGTCAGGCTTCTTTCTCTCAAAATGCGGTTCAACCGTCTCTCTTCGGAGTCTGTAAGAGGAAGATGTAATCTGCAGTAAGACAGAAGCCTTAGTTCCTCGGCTATTTCAGACTGCTTTAGCTTCTGAGAATGTTCCTCTTTCAAGTGCCCCTCCTCTGGAATGCTCGTGTCCGCTTGTTCAAATTGCAAAGTTTCCGATGTTAAGTTCTCGCTGTTTTCCATGTTCCCCATGTCCATTGTTGCTGCTTGAATGCTTGCCGCCATCACGACTTGAAGTCTGCGAGGCCGCTGGATGCCAGTCTTGTAAAATGTTTGTTTTTAAAACGCTTTCTTCAACCGTGGTGCTGCACGTGATTTGAAGTAGAACTTGGGAATTGGTAACGATAGAACGCTCACAAACAACTGCGCCCTTTGCCTCCTGACTGTAGCGCATGAGTCGACAGAGAAATAATGTTGACGTATAACCGGATGATGTAAATGTTGTACAGCAGTTTGTGGTGAGGAAAACACGGGATTTTTTACGGAAGTTGACCGGAGACAACTGTGTTATCAGCTGGACGCATGCACGGGGGCGGGCCACTGTCGTCTGCTTTTGGGACTGTACCAACTTCAACCGCATGCGAGGGGCGCACTATTTCGCATAGTGTTTAAGGTGAAATGATGCAAGGCTACGTAAACTAGTACAGAATTGATGTTGCTTTATTACGGTACAGTTGATATTATTTTGGTCTTAATCAGGCAATCGTCCAGTTTTGCGTCAAATTTCGAAAATTGTGTAGTTAAGTCCACCACTTTTTTGTGATGGTATTGCCCGAATGAGAAAATGGCGGACGTCTACATTCGAAAAGCCGAGACCAGACGACGTGGAGACTAGACGACGCATGTCTAGCTGTTATCGTGGCCTAACAATTGTATAACTTCCCAAACAATATCCTGACATCGGAATTTAGCGTTTTCACAAAGCTTGGTAAATCTGGGATACTTTAAGAAGTCAAATCTGTTGAGCGAAGGAGTGTGATAAAGCTAAATTTAGCGGTTCAACATTCAGCGATGACGGAAGGCGACATCAATTTCTGGGACTCCCTTGAGACTTTAGGCCATGAACTTTTGGATCGCGAAAGAGAGATTGTTCAGAAAAGACAACCTGCTACAGAAAAGGCCAAGACACCTACCTCAGAGAATGGAGAGAGTGGTTCCAGAGGACAAGTGTTGAGAGCTATCGAGCGTCTTACCGAAACCATGATTGTTGCATTGTCCAAAGAACAGTCTCCAGTGCTGACTTACAAAGATAGAAGGAACTCCTCAAATGTGTCATTCGATGAGGATTTCGGAGTCGTTCCCAGCGACACTATTGCAGTCAAGACGGTGGACTTCTCGGCAATAAAGTCGACGACAAGATTTGCAAGAACTTTACAAGTCCTTGCCATAAGTTACCGGCTTGTACAGACGAACACATACTCTACAAAACGGGACGTCTTTTACAACAACACGAAGTTGTTTGGTAGCCAGCGTGTGCTTGATACGATAGTTGACGACATCGCCTGTATGTTGAATGTACCCAGGCATAGTCTGCACATCTTAGCAACATCAAAAGGTTGTGTAGCCGGAGATCTAACGCTGGTAGACAGTGATGGCAGTTTTCTGGACTGTTCTGTAGCAAGCGGAGGAACCATGGTGCCAGCACATGTGCAACATATCACAAACCTACACTCAAGTAAGTCCGTGTTTCGTTCTGTGTACCTCACTATATTGTCGAGTCCTTGGTTCTTTCTCAAGTTACAAAATCACAAATTTCAGCTGGTAATATTGCTATGGCAACACCTCTCATTTATAATAACATTTATCATCAACTATTTTCCTGTTCATATTGCAGTCACACTACATAATTGAAAGATCACGAGGTTGGATCTGCATGTGTAACCGAACAGACCAGTGTCCAGAAAAGATAATTCTCTTGTTTTGCATCTTTTTGTCTTAAAACGGCAACTAAGTTGCTGATGTCCTTGTTTTCCCTTGCAGATGCCAAGTTTGTGCTAGTTGTGGAAAAGGATGCCACTTTCCAGAAGTTACTGGATGATGGCTTCTGCAGGAAGCTGGCACCTTGCATCATGGTCACAGGCAAGGGAGTACCCGACCTCAACACACGTATGTTAGTCCACAAACTGTGGAAGGCCTTCCACATACCTGTCTTTGCTCTGGTGGATGCTGATCCCCACGGTATGGAAATCATGTGTACATACAAGTATGGGTCCATGGCGCTTTCACATGAATTCCACAGCCTGACTGTACCCACCCTGAAGTGGCTCGGAGTGCTGCCTTCAGACATCAGACGACTCTGCATCCAAGAGGATGTCCTCTTACCCATGAATGACTCGGACAGAGCAAAAGCAAGGGAGCTACTTGAGAAGCCCTTCCTTTCCGCTGAGCCGTTGTGGAAGAGAGAGTTAGAGGAGTTCCTCACAAGAGACAGAAAGGCGGAAATTCAGTCTCTCATTTCCATTTCTCCAACCTTCCTAACAGATGTGTACATTCCTAACAAAATCAAGTTTGGAGGCTGGATCTAATGGCAACCTTTATAAAGATTTTGTCTGACCAGTCACCACATCTGTGGGACAACAATGATAAATGTTTACTCCTATGAACTGAAGGACTGCTAGAGGGTTGCATATAAAGAAATTAGTTGAATGCATGCCATAAATATATTCATGACTTTTTGAGGACATTCTACATATTGTTTTGTATCATTAACCATTCATTTTCTTGTATTGTCATAAGCCACCAACATTTCTTGCATATCTTCTTTTGTTATGAAATATGATAGGCACCAAGGTTTAGATTTATCAAGTAAACCCTCAGGTATTCATGTAGTGGATTGTAACTGAAGATGCTATAAGGTACCAGAGGACAGGCATTGTAAATACTGTGTACAAAGATTATGTTTCACATAATACAGTGGATATGTTGTGATGAATAAAATTCAATTTGTGTGTTTCAAAGATGTCACATCATTTGCAAGTGTAGTGAATAGACACTTTTCTAGGAATGTATACTACGTAGTACATTTTGCATACATGTAAGTACTAGTAGTGTCAAGGCTGTAATGTCAAAGATATCTCTTGCAAGGCATCCCCATTGTATGTAATACTGATAGCTTTTAAGGAGATAAGCCTCTAAATTTATTTCCCATCCCATGTCTAACTACTTGAACTCTTTCAGGAAGGTGATGTTGTGGCCAAAAGCAACCCTGACCTGCATTTCAACAAAGCAACAGTAAGTCAGCATGCCTTCATACAGATTGAACCTTGGCTATGGCATATGTCATTCTCATATTGAAGATAAATGTTGCATTATACTATTAGTAAATATTGAGGTAACGATTGATATCTTTGATCTGTTGATAGGTGTTAAGGTATGAAGAACAGTTTCAGCTGGCGTTGATGCACTGGGACCAAGCTTCAGCACTGGACCCAACATGGGACCAGCCGAACATGAAGCAGACACAGCTTCTCAGTTATCTGTCCAAGGTGGCTGACATGGTGCACCACAAGGTAGGGACAAAACCAGCAGTAACATGCATGATTACCTGTCAGTTTATACTAATGGTTTACTGGTAAGTAAGCTCTTGATTTTAAAACATTCCTCTAAAACAGAAAACTTCACAGTTTTGTTTGAGGAGCCAGTTCAGACTGTAAACCTACAGTGTTGTGTATTATGTTGGGTTCTCTGTTTTCCAGGGCAAATTGAAAGCCAAAAGACTCCAGTCCATGCTGAAGTCTCTGTCAGAGAAGGACCTGGGGCCATATGGTGGCGGCTCATTTGAAAGCTCTACAGGGAAGAAAGTTCCACTGGAATCAACAACATTGGCAAACTTAGCTAGTGGACTGAATAAGAATAAACTGGTGTTGGGCAAGGTGGTATGCAGTGTCACAGCAGAGGAAACCATTCCTTTGTAAGTATTTCAATACTTATGTACATGTATGTTGCTCTTGACTTGCTCTCAACTTGTTACTAAAAAATACAGGAAATGAACTTGTTTTGTGGTAATATGAATTTGTACCATTCGTCTTGAAGTTAATGTGCAGCCTGTTTATGTAAAAGCATGTTCAGGTTTTTAAGTCAAATTGTCATTTCCCCAGGCTCATACCAGCATTATGATAAGGTACACCAGCCTTGAACACTTTCTTAAAATGCATCAAGTTCTGTTTCTATACTGACATACATCTTTACTCTTCTAGCACCTTTGCTTTGACAGACAAGGAAGGCACCTGCTTTGCTGTAACAGTGTACAACGTTGCACCCAACTATGGGACAATTGTTGGAGACTCAGTAGCCATTCCAGAGCCGTTCTTGCAACACGTAGACTTTCAGCACAAGGACAAGGTAGGAATAGTTTTATCCTCCAAGCTTGTCCTTGCTATCTTATTGGAATTTCTGATAATTTTGATTCTAAGATATAACATACTAGGTATTGCAGATCTAAAGGGTGTGGTAAGACACAGTAATGAAATACCTATGTGCATTTATCAAAACTTATGCTGGTTGCAGAAGTTCCAGTTCAGCGTGATCCGAGTGGAGACTCCACTGGTCCTTGTGGTCAACAGCAGGAAGCTTGGATTGGACAAACAGGCACCAACTGTCCTAGCTTGCACAACAATGAGTGAATAGACAACACACAACTGGTCCCAGATGTAGGAATGCTGAAAACTTGTGCTGCAGATATGTCGTTGAAAAATCAATCATTCCAAGCACAAAAGTAAACATGTCATTCAACATGGTATGTTGCTGGAAAAAGAGGCATTCAAAAAGAATTTACCAGACTGACTGATGCCTTGGTGTCCTCCTGTTTTATGTGTTTTTGTAACACATATTCCAATGTCCCAAACTCAATGGGAATTTTTCAAAGGGTGCACTGAGTTACTTCTGTGTGATTGGAAAAAATATCAAAGAAGTTATTAAACCTGCTGCTCTTCTCAGTAGGAGGTACATAGACAATCTTCAATAGTTTGGAGCTGAGCATTTGGAGTTTTTTGTACATATTTTGTATCTGTCATATCATCTTGTGTGATGTGTGACATGTTTGAACAGTTCAGCAACTAAGACTTGAATGAAGAAACAGTGAAAACTGACTGCAGGAAAAGTTGTGTGGAGTTTATTTGTGTTCAACTAAAGTTTATCAATGTGAGACAGCAACATTTTCACATGATGTCCTGCTTCTTACTGAAGCTTTATGCAAATAAACTGTTTCTTACAATGAGTTTAAGTTCAACTGTAATAATAATTACACAATGGATGACTGATTTTAGACCTTGTATTCTACAATCACTGTACAAGACTGCTTAATCCTTTTGATTGTTGCCTGTTTGAACTTTCTGTATAAAATCTCACAAGTTACAATAAACACGAGGTTGTTCCATACTTCATAGAAGCCGTCTACTTCTTGCGTACCGTGCCTTTGGTTTTGATGCCATGTGCTCCTGCAGGCGTCTGCTTGGTTGGGTCGTATGTGAAGGTCTGTGGTACTGGACCTGTCCCCGCTTCCTTCCATCTCAGGGCTGCTCGTCTTTGTCTGTTCTCAACCTCACTAGCAAGACTGGCATTCTTCCATCCTGGAAATTGTGAAAACACATATTGATGGCTCCGTTTCCAGCAAATGCAAGTTTTGCTGCATTCTTCCAGCATAATGTGTAAAATGTTTGATCTAGGCAAAGTGGATGAAAGTGGATTAAATGTGATGTACATATAATTGTTTGAATCAAAAATGCATCATTAAAAAAGTCGCAGTACAAGAGAGTTAGGTGCATGAACTCTGGTTACAACTATAGGACTAAGGCAATCAAGTAAAGCTTACATAAGTCATAGGCCTAACTACCTAACTTATCATGGACTGTAAATACCGATGAGTAAGCTCTACCTTGTTTCATGCTTTTGACGAAACCTTCACTTTTCTTCACGCTGGCCGGATCATGCTGGATCTTGTGTGGCATCTTCAGCCACTGTCGAACAGCTGGGACCTTCAGCAGGCTGATCTGAGCAATGGTGAAGGTGTTGGACGTCATCCAGTATGTGAAGATAGCCTGTTGATTGTATTATAAAACACAGTCAGTACAACCATCAACATGTTTCTGACACAAGCCAAAATGCTGGGACATTACACAAGTTGAGGAAGAGAATGTGTACTATGATGACATCACTACTGACACTAGTGTCATATCAATTTAAAAATATCAGATGTTGGGGTACACTGGTTAATTTCATACATCTCATATGTCTGTACTTACTGTGGGGAAGGAAGCTGTGAGAGGCAGGATCATCACAGCCACCACTCTCATCACATTCTTCATCGTTTTCATCTGGGGATTCTCCACTCCCAACTCAGAGCCAAGCTGGAGGGGGAAAAAAATCAAACTTGTTTATTACATGATATCGATTAGCAAGAAAAAAAAGTTATGTATCATTCTGTATGCTGAATTTTAATTTTTGGCTTCCCAATCAATGCCATTCTATACCATGTAAGGAGAAGTGTAAATCATGGGAAGTTAGCATAAACCATTAACAAACTTAGCATATCACCTTGTCTGGGTGCCTTTGGTAAAACATGTCACAAATGTTGCCTGTAACACTGGCAGCATTGTTCAATGGTCACACATGTAACACAGAAATTATCGGTAAGTACGGTATACATGTACTACACATGCTCCGACATGTCCACATACCTCAATGATGGTCAACATTGTAGCAGATGTCATGAGGGGAAGAATGAAGTAAGGGTCAGAGGCTGTGAGGTCAGTGAACCAGAAAAGTCCACCTGTCATCATACTCATCATGGGAAGGGTAGCCATGCGCCGGAGACCAACAAAGAATGAGACGAAAACTGGCATCTAGAAGGAAAACAAGGAAACAAGAATGTAAACTGTTTTCATACAGTATGTTGAGGGAAAAATACAAGACAATATCATTAGTCATATCTTGAGTAGAAAACATGTCTGACCTGTACAAGTGGAACCAGGAAGTTCTTGAGAGGATTGACTCCATGTTTCTTCATAAATGCCTGTAGCTCAGCAGTGTGATGGGCAACTTAGCAAGAGAAGTAAAAGATAATGGTTAAAATAGAGACACACATGTACCAGAATTAATATACTCACAAAGCATATGGCAAATGTCTATGGAACTATCTTCTGCTATGAGAAGGACCATTCACTACAGCACAACTTAATCATAGAGAACATGGCACTTTTCCGTAATGTTTTCACTACAAGTACATCTGATGAGTCAAACATTTGAAGTGTAACATACATGTATTTCAAATAGAATAGGCTGCAATTCCATGAGGGCAATCCATGCCTTCCTGGGAGTTGTAAAAAGTCATTTTGTCATGAGTAGGGAGTGTATGTTAGGGTAGTCTGGACATACGTTCAAACTTGTTTCCCTCTGCTCTGGCCTGATTAATCTTCTCATTCATTTTCTGTATCTGTGGCATGACGTTGTTTAGGTTGATGGCATTCTTCTGTCCCTTCACAATCAAGGGAAACATCAGGCTCCTGGCTATCAGAGTACCTACAGAAATGGGAGAAAAATGTAAACTATATAAACATTAAGAATCATTGTAAAATAACATACATGCAACATGAGCATCTGTTAAGCCTTCTGACATTAACATATGCTACCAAAGAGAATTTCAGATGAAAAATTACCAGAAGTAGTCAAGATTATGTCAGGTATGCTCCCAGCCATTAGTGCTGTTTTTGACAGTGTAGTCTGGATGTCATCTGAGTTAGGATTGAGTATGATATAAGATGAATGATTGATTGGATTGGATCGAATGAATGATTGACTCAGATGACATCCAGACTACACTGTCAAAACCAAACTTATGACTGTGTCTTAAAGAAAGAATAGTCTGCAGCATAGAAAATCTGAGTGCTAAAGGCAGAGCAGAACAGATCTACAGGGGTACTTACAGCAGACAATGGAGGCCCACCATGGTAGGTGTAATGTGGAGTGAAACATATCTATGGTTGACTGGAGGAGACCAATGGGAGACCATCCCCCCAGCCCCAGCTCTGTGAGGGAAGGCTCCACCCCTGTCTCTGCTGCAGCCTGCATGATGTCATGTGTGGTAGGAGCTTCAAAAGGGACAGGGGTCACTTCTGTCAGTGGGACATCAGTGGACATGCCTAGTGGGACTTCAGATGTGATGTTTGGTACAACTGCATCAGGAAGGCCTGATGATGTGTCTGCTGCCTGTCACATCAATAAACATACACGCCATCAGTATGTGTCAGAACTAGCGCAGTAAACTGCAGACACAGGGTTGCTTCTTGCAGAATATCCTTTCCTCCCTCAGTCTTTTGGTTTAATCTTAATTAAAGCATTGGATTACTGACTGTTTGCTGAGTGAAGAGGTGGTGAACAGAAAATGCTTTTGTGTCATGAACCAGAATGACAACGTAATATAAATTCCTGGATTAAAATTCAAAACAAGAATGCTTGATCTGAATGCTAGCAAATTTAAAAGAATTAATACCTGCATGGCGGGCTGTGTCCTTTCTATGTCTGTGCTGTTGTACCGAATCCCCACCACACTCATGGCCCCGATGTTATTCCGTCTCAGCCAGCTCCATGTGACATCAGTAAAATGTCTTATTCTTGGTGCTGACTTGATGTGACTTGAGCCCATACTGTACTGGACTGCAGCAAAGCCTCGCTGGGACTGAAAGTACCAAGTTGAGAAATTTGCTCATGGTATGTGATAACACTATCATACAAGAAAAATGTACTTGAGTTAGTACATGTCATATGTATTTCTAAATTTACACACTAGCACAGCTAGCACAGCACAGTAGTGTCCCTTGATACCATGTTGATTTTAATGCAAAACATTAAGACGATTTTTCAAAGTCGTTCTAATTTGTGTTAAGTTATCTGTTTCACAAGTCTCAAATTATTATTGTAGTTGCCATGTCCTTGTGGTAACCGTTACATGAAATTTCTGTAACAAATTACTTTTTGCTGCCCCCCTCCCACATCACAAAAGTAGCGGATTTCTACTGAACATTGTTAGCTTAGAACTATAACCACAGGCACGCAGAGCACCCAAGTTAACGCTACAGTCTTTCCCCTTCAAACAAAAGCAGTCTGACATCTCCACTCACCACACGTGTTCCCAGGTTTCTGAAAATTAAATGCCCTCCACCGCCGCAACTTCGCACTAACGCCGCCATGCTGGGTCCTTTGGGTAACCCTGGATTATACCATTATTTGCTGTTACATGAATATGTTTACATCTCAAAGAATATAGGGTTTCGTTAAACAATATGTACATAAATATGTCTAATTTGTATTGGTATTTTAAGATTGTTGAATATACATGATACTATTTTCTGGTTGCATAAACGATTGTTAACGTGACACCCCTAAATATTTTTTTGAATCGAGTGTTCCACTAACCTATGACCCGCAGCGGAAGAAGATCAGTACGAAGACATGAAGAGAAGAGGAGCATGGCTGCAGCAGTTGTTCGTGTCAAACGCTGTCAGAACGACGATCCAGTCGAAGCTCTGTTAGTCTCCTGTAAGAGACTAAAGGCTGCAGATGGACAGGCAGCCGCCACAGTGACCGCTGAAGACATCAAGGAGGTTTTCAAGTTCGTCGGAACGGTCGCGAAACAGGTACGTAAATATCTGTGTTGTATCACTCACAGTCCCATGTTTAGCTGATGTTAGCAGTTTAATCAGCAGAAATATAAGCCATTCCCCGTCCCTCTTTTCTTGTACGATATACTGTCCTTCACCATGATGTAATTTTTCTGATAAGCTTCGTAGTTTGAATTTTTCCCTCACGGATTTTGTAAAAAAAAAGAATTGCCAGGCACATCACGTGGGTCCCAAATGTCATGATGTCATCAGCATGGATCTTTCACTATTTATGCGTACTGGTCTGTACAATGCAGCTATATGACATGACATTGATGGAATATCCGCCTGCATGCAAATACGATCATGTACAATGTTACATGGCTAGCCAGACTCATTAAGGGTGTTTGTAATAAAGTACTCTGTCATTCTCTATTTCAGTTGTCGTTTTATCTAATAATCTATCCATTAGTTATATCAAGACCCTTGGTGATATACAAAACATGCATGGTATTACTATTGTACTGATTGTTATTCAAGGCATGTCAATAGAATGCATTTATCCAGGCTCAGCAGAATTCAATAGACCTGATGTCATGGGCTGGCAGGAAGTACAGTGCCAGATCTGGTTATTAATCATGGGTGATGTATTCATGCCTTTGTAGAGAAGGCGAGAGATTTACTGTTGGCATTGTATCGTATGTCTTAAATTTCACAGTTTCTGCCAAACTTTGGCAACAGGATCTTTTTGTCCTTCACTCAGGGTGACAACCTTCCCAAACATATCAAGGACAACATCACTAAGATCAGGCCTCATGCCAAGAAACAGCCCAAGCCCCTCACCAGTAAGAGACATGAACAGAATCGTGATGCCTTTAGGGTGGCCCAACGAGCAAGTCGCTACAAAGTGGTGGCCAGTCACAGGGACATTGATGTAGTTCTAGAGAGAGAAGAAAAAGAAGATGCAGGAAAGAATGGTCCCAAGGTTGCAGCAGGAGAGGTGGAAGCTGGGCAGCTGTTTGGTGTGTTTGATGCTGTGGAAGGAAACAGCAAGGAGGATGAAGAAAGGAAGAAAAAGAGGGCTGAGAGAAAAATGCAGGTCAGCTGCAAATATAACGTTAAATATTTTCTGTAGAAATCTTTTCTCCTTTCAAACAGTTTCACAGCATTTCTTGTACGTGTTACAATCATTTTAACTCTGTACCGTGAATCTTGCCAAAAAGTAAAAGTTTTACCTTGTTTCAGGAGCTGAGCGACCCTGATGCCATCACCTGTAATTCAGTCCGAATGATCCGGGAGAAGCTGACCCTGTCAGACAGCCCAGCAGCTCCACAACAGTCCCCAGAGTTTGTCTACGACATCTACTACTCGGACTCCCTGGACCCCACCCACCTGCAGCACATCGTGGAGGTGACAGACTGTCAGCAGATGGAGCTGGTCCACGAGGATGCAGATGATGAGGGGGAGGACATCTATGATGATGAGGATGACAGCAATGATGAGAGTAACTGGAGGAATGACTATCCTGATGAGAATGAAGAGTCCAACAGGGACATAGACTACTATGATCCTGATTATGAGTGGAAGGGTAGGTTTGGTTAAAAAGTATGATACTTTGTTAACAGTTTTCAACATTTTCCTTCACATAAAAAGAAGTTGGACCAACTGGGACTATGCATGACAAATGTATGTACACGTACATAGCATCTGATAGAACTGTCCTTTTCTTGTTGCAGACACTTTTGGCGACCTGTCCAGTGATGATGATGACTACCTTGGTCCCAGGAGGATGCCAGGCAGTGTGAAGGGTGCGGAGAGTGCTGCCATGGCCAGGTTCAAGGCCCACCCTCTGGCAGACCTGGATGACGGGTACTGCTATACAGTACAGGACGGGGGGAGTGATAGTGACAAGGGCGGTGACTTTACATACTGAGGCATGTTACCTACAGTCCTCACAAAATTGTAAAATACAAAATGGAATGCAGTGTCAGACACAGCATGCAGATACACCTTGAGTGCAGTATATGCTGTAAGAATTATAGTAACTTTGTATTGTTGCACTATTACTATCCACTGGTGCTATGTGTACTGACGACTTTTATGAAGCATGTGGTGATCACATAGTAATGACTGGATCAAAAGTCTATAAACTGGCTATCAATACATGATACATTTATTTCCAGACAATAGATTGTCATGTAAGTAGAAACTCTCAAGAAGGCTTTTGCATTTGAAAAATGGTCATAGAGTACATGTAGATTACTTTGCAAACAACTAGCAAAAATGACTTTGAGAAAAGAAAACATGGCATGACTTAGGATAAGACATGAAAAGGAATTTGAATGAGTAACTCTGAGAATGAAGATACAAAGCAAATAGCAGCAAACTGTGTAAAGATGATGAAGTTCTATTATGTGAAACTTAGATAAAGGTAAACTACATAGGTTAGGTGCATGTCTTTGACTAAGATGTATGTGAATGCTTCAGATGACTAATACATATCAATATTATCAAAATTACATACATGTACATGTATATATATGTTGGGACTAGCTAAATGTAAGACAGTTAATGTTAAGGTTTGCTACACTGTTTGTACTTTGTGATATGCAAAATGCACATGTACCTCAACCACACTAACTAAACAGAGAAGTTTTATTTTTTTACCCTTTTAGTCTTTACCAGTTTGAACATTTCAAGTGCTGATTATGGATGTACATGGCTGTACAAATTGGGAGGGAAGATTTCTACTTTTACATCTTGAATGAAATGAATTCTTTTATGTTTCTGGCTAGAGCACGGACTTATTTGTTGCCTGTAAACTTGCCTAGAATAATGAAAAGTGATAAAAATGTTGTTGTATGCAGATACATGTATGTGCACTTTAGATAAGTTACGGATGATTATCTGGCTGTACTTGATGTAAAAGTATGGAAAATTAGTAACTTCTTCAATAGCTTTCTCCACCACAGTTTTGTGCCAAACTGGTTATTCTTTACGTTTATATGCCAGTATGATGACTGTATCTTGTCAATCAGTAAGAACTCACAAGACAGGCACTTGCATGCATTTCTAGTTGATTGTGACACACCATGAAAATGTTGTAGTGTTACTGGCTATTAATAGATATTCCTGTAGCATATCAATAATAAATGTGTTAAAAAGGCATAATGAACAATCATGTTGAATCTATTTAATCAGTCCACTTTCAAAGGAGCCTTTATTCATAGATCATATCTAACAGATGCTCTACTTTTGGTATCTCCAAGCTTTCCTTGCATTGCAAATTGTCACTTTACAGCCTGGATCCAACTGTTGGTTTGTGCTAGCACGCTTTTTATCAGACTTAGTGAACAGTGACATCTAAGCCATCAACAGTGATCCAATAAGAAATGTCTCAGTCTGCCAAACTGTACTCCAGTAAGATCAGACCTTGTCATAGACATAGATGGTTTCAATCCCTTCCCCTAGTGTTGAGGTTGGTGCCCAGGTGGGCAGCTGGTACCTGCAGCAGATGACCCTTGACCCTGATGTTACCTCCTCAGCAAGTTTCTGCTCCAATCTTCTCAGCTGGTTTGTTCGAGATAAGGGCAAAACAAAGTGAGAAAACTCTTGAAGGACTGAGATTATAAAACATTGTCACAGGTTGTGACAGAGGTTTGTGGCAAAGGATAAAAAATACAAAGCTAAGTGTTTCATCTGCAAGTATTGCTGAGGTGACTATGAATATCACCTGCCAAAGTTATGTGCCTAAGTCTTCTGTACCAAACATGTTAAACTTTCCTTTTGCTTTTCTCTCCCATAACATATAGTACTAACAGTTTACAGCAATACATGTACATGTGTCAAGCATAACAATCGTCTGCACTTACTATTAGAGGTTCTCCATAGATGACAATGTTGTTGTACAGCCTTAGATCTGCCTGTTACAAGTGAGAGTTGACATTATGATTAATAATCATAAAAATCAGCAATAGGTATAGACTGACAGCTGTAAAATTCTTATTCTTTATGAAACCAAGTTTAGTCGAAGAATGTAGCCCTCTCACCTCAAACAGGTCCTTCCTGTGAAATCTGGCCAGACTTGCCAGACCTTTCCTGTGTGCCATAAGCCTGGAGTAGCCGAGTAAGAAAGGGTTCAACTCATACCCGTCTGTGTGAAAACCCTGGGTGGCTGCAGCACAGACCTGGAGAAAAAAGTAGTGAGAACATGACAATCAGTCGTTCTAATACATTTGTACTAAAGTATAGTTTACACTGCAGTCATGCAAAAAGTGGATACTAAATGTACAAAAAAGGAAAAAGAGGAGAAAAAGATGGATAGAAGGTTAAGTGCATATGTTTGACAGACCATTTAGATGAGGTCTGCAATGCATTACTTTCAAATTGATTTTAATATCTGTTGTGACAAAAATCCATACATAGAAAAATCTTTGCTTCATGCTTAACAGTCTTTACTCATCCACATAAACTTAAGTTGGCCAGCTGGGCTGATGGGAAATTTGGGAAACCTAATTAATGCTAAAAAAACACACGGCAAACCATTCAGAAGTTTTGTAAAATTGTAGCCACTCACTAGACTCAGTTGTATGCAGCCTCAGTGACTGAGAAAGCAAGGTAGGTGGTGAAGCATTGATATATTGCAACATACTGCACACAGCACATGTTTAAATGTTTTTGTAAGAATCTAACATATTATCAAGTATAAACTGCACATGACTAGAAATCTTAAGTACAGGAAAAATACATAGCCTTAAGCTGTCTCAATTCCTTTAGATGCAATAAGAGAAGGGAACAAGGAAAAAAAGAACAACCAAAGTACAGGTTACCAGCAAACTATTGACAACAAATTATCTTCAACAAATGATCATGAAAGCAAAACATGCTGTAAAGGTTAGACATTTATATTGCATCAAATTCATACAAGCTGCTGTTATTCAGCAATGCCAAATGGGGCATACATTCAGGTCTAAACCTGCTACTTACAATGCGCCCATCACCACTGCCTAGGTCAGCGACCTTTCCAGGTCTGCCTTCCAGCAGTCTGAGTACACGGTCTACCTGCGATCGTCCGGATGCGACATAGGGCAACGGAGACCTGACAGGTCAAATTGATGGAACATACACCATCAATATTGCATACATTTACCACTACTGTTACAAGTTACAAGTACTGTAAAGTCAAGAACTGTCTCCACAGAAACCACCACTGGCATGTTTCCGTGGAGAGAGTCATAGGCTCTGAAAGATGCAGCTGGACAAAGAGAATTGTAGAATGAATCCTTTTACAGTAATGAAGAGCTCTGTTCCTCCCCTGACTTCACATCCCCAATATTCACAAGAATGAAGTGTAATTGCTGGGATCCTTGTTGCTTCCCTTCTCAATAAAAGCTGAGACCCAGTTTGTTAGCAGATCTATATCTACATGTACACATATTGGACTTTTTGATCAGAAAATGATGACTTCATTTTTTTAATATCTTCTTGTACCAAAAATTTTTTTACTCCTTCTCTTTTCCAGCACAGCATCTGCCTGTCATTGCCTGCTGTTCTGCCCATGACTCACAAGTCTGCCATCACCACTACCCAGATCAACAACGTTGCCCCTCCTGCCCTGTAGAAGCCTCAGCACCCCGCACACCTGTCTCCTGTTCGACACAATCCATGGCAGGGTTGTCCTGGGTAGTGGACCATGTTTGCATGAAAGTAATAAACAGAAGTGCTCATGGTTATTGGTTGGAAATTTTTGCTCCTAAGGAGACTTAATTAATCTGTCAGTTATTGTATCCGTCCATTTCAAATCAACTCTAATTTGGCAACTTGAATGTGGGTCATTTTACATTGGTGGTCCACCAAATGTGCTAAGGTAATGTTGAAGTGTTGGCAGTTTAGGTCAACTTGCTGAAGTCATCCTACGAAACACAAGACTGTTTGGTCCATGGTGTACTACCCAAGGTTATGTAAGTTGAATACTAAATAGCCATCTTCCCATATACACACAGATGTTATATGACATTATTATAATTCTTTTATCCAGCAAGTCATACAGTCATACATCACATGTTACTCTCTACCTTTGATATGACTGGAAGCTCAATTCCTTACCTTCTGTACCAAGGGAAGACCAGGGCTGTGTTGACAACATAAGTGAGACAAACCGCTCCTCCGATACCTTTAACCAGGAGGAAGGATCTATCCCTCTCTGCTGAAGCCAAAGTGGCCAGTTCCATTTCTATGCTGTCATCCATCTCACAAACCTAGTCTGTGTACACAAATGGCCCATAACCTGGTGATGGCAGGAAAATATGATAGGTTATCAATCTATATAGGGCATAACAACATAGATGCGGACATACTAAAACTGCATTCTATGAGCCTGATTCTATGCGATATTTTTTAAGACAAACCAAAAACAGTAACCTGCACTTCGTACCATATATGTACCTTGGTGCCATAGTTAGGCAAAGGATGTTTTGGTAATAGGAAAGGGAAATTTTATCGACGACATGCACAAACTGACTACCTGGATCAGTAGTTTACAAATTCTGTCATCCGCAATTAACACTGGAGTTATCTAGCCACCAACTTTGACTAAAAGATAACAACATATACATGCACTTCCCACCTTTCTAGTAAATTCTAGCCAGCTGTAATACGTGCTCTGTGTCACGCATGTGTTTGTTTTGATTTTCTGATAAGGTCAAAGGTGAGCTGAATGTCCCGCTATCCTTTGCGCTCCCGCCGTTCTCCTAATTTGGGCGTTTTCGGATTCGTTCGGCTAATTTCGCACATTTCCGTGCAGGCTGCGGCGAGGCGAAGTGTGGTGAGGTGAGAGAGTGTAAGATGGCTTGATTTCTGCGCTTTTTGTTGCCCGATTTTGTGAAAAGACTATGCATTTTTCCATTGAAATGGGCGTTTAGATAGCAAGGATAGTGTAGGTCATATTTGTGGACTTACCGTGTGCTAATTAGGGTAGTAAACCCTAAATTTGGACATGCTTTTCTGAGGACGTTTGGTCCGCCATTTTTGTCCACGCCATGCCCATCTCTCTTCACGAGGACATCGCTCTACTTTTAGTCCGTCACGAGGGTCCTAAAGTCATTTCTCCATTCTTTTCCTCGTGCAGACTCCTAGATGCCTTTCGGTCGACTTCTGAGCAGTCTTGTAAGAGCTGGTTTGACATTGCCAAAGGTACTAGCTTGGAAAACATGACCGAACCTTTTGTCTAGGTTTAATAGAACTTGGGTGGAAAATCTCTTGAATTTACTTTTAGCATGACCACTATCTGGATATGTGATGAACTGAGCTCTTGTTTGCCTGATTGCACATGCCCCTGGTCTGATTTTTGAATGGTTTTCAATTTTGTGCAGAAAATCTGGGTTGAATGCTTAATTGATTAATGTTTGACACATGTACTACTGAGGTTACAATCTTTGATCACATGGGGTCACACAGGGTGAAAATAATTTTTTCATCAAATTATGTAAGTTTTCGGACCATCAGATCTGGCCTAAAATTAATGCATAGGCTTCCACTGATGCAATTAGCTACTACAGGCTAGTTTGTTGCCCTTCTATTTGGGATAAATGTTGTTAAAATATTCTATCTTTATTCTGTTGTACAAAAATTACAAGGGTAGAGCAGAGGTGAGATACTCACCTAGTAAATGATTTACATTTCAAAGACCAAGGACAGCCCTTTATCTGAACTTTTCATTCAGGAGGGTGCAAGACAAACATGCAAATTATACATGTTAAAAAGGATATATCAGATTAAGAAGTGTTATTTTTTAGTACATGTATACTAAGTAATTTACAATTACAGGTATGAAAATTGAAATAGTGATGCTGACAAGTTTCACCAAGGCAATAAAATCAGTTTTGACCAGCTCCCCAGTGATATGAGTGAATGATTAACTGGTGCCAAAGTAGAGTGTCGGTCTGCGAAAGAAGTTAACTGCGCAGAAAAGATCCACATTTTGCCTGTTCTGAGTAAGACATCACTTCTACCTGAACTCTTGTTGAAGTTTCCAAAAAACATGTGACATTTTCCTAAACCATGTTATCAAGTTTAGTAATGAAATGATATTCTTTGTCCAAGCAGGTTCAGTTTGGTCCAAGGACAGTTTCTGCCAAACTTTCGGGACTTTTGCATTCCACCACATCACACAACTTCTGCAGCATGGCTGATGAAGACGGCGGATACGTGGTGCGCATGAGGGGCCTCCCATGGTCTGCCACTTGTGAAGAAGTGAAGTCTTTCCTTACATCTGAAGGTAAATAGCATATGGTATTGATAGTACTGTACACGTGATAGTGCTGTACATAACTAGTTTAGTTTTCTGTATTTCATATTTGCTATATATTCTTCCTGCGCATGAAATATGGAACAATACAAGTTTTTTGCAATGATTTTTATGATTGCTTCCTCCAGGTTGTAAAGTAAAAGGTGGGGATGGAGGGATCCATTTCACATTCTCTAAAGAGGGAAGACCAAGTGGTGAGGCATTTGTAGAGGTTGAAACTGCAGAAGACTTTGAGAAGGCCCTGGCCAAGCACAACCAGCATATGGGTCACAGATACATTGAAGGTAAGGATTTTCTGAACCTGAATAGTTCTTGTTCCTCCTATGATGTTATTACACTGGAATGTTCCTGTTGTTCAACATTTACAATTGCTGAAGTGCAACTACATGTGCATCCTGAATACTAGTGAATAGACATCTCTTTAAAGTTAATTGTATGATCTGCGCTGCAGTTCTAACTCGTATTTGTTTTTCTGCAGTGTTCCGTTCCAAGGTGTCTGAGATGGAGTGGGTAGTGAAGCACAGTGGGCAGGACCAAGTCAACGACGGCATTGTCCGGTTGCGGGGTCTGCCATTTGGCTGCTCAAAGGAAGAAATCGCTCAGTTCTTTTCAGGTACATTTATTCAGCCTTTTGAAATTGAGGTGTGTGGGATGAATTGGCAGTGCTGCGGATTTTATAGTTACCCAGAGAAGAGTACGTTTAAACAGTAATCGGAACTTTCAGTATTAATATGTGCTTGACTGAAATAGACCAGTAGCATGTGTCGTCCCCTATTTTTAAAATAGAATTAAGTACTGTATAAACAGAAAATTAGTCAGCAAGATTGTAGCGTAATACAGCTTTTGTTGTGCAAGGATCTTGTTGACTTGACTTAAAAAAAAACCCGAATGATTATTCTGGAATCATCGTAGTGAAACTTGCTATCGACAGACTTGTATCTCTAAGTTTGCGGGAAGATCTTGTGCATCCGTTATATTCTTACCACTGGTGATGTTTGACTGTTGAGTTGTGCTGATCTTACAGTGAGATTCAAACATGGATTCCCTCTCTTTCTGGGTACAGCTGGGCTGGTGGTTGGCTGGGATGGGGTCAACTGGGCACGGGGCATCATGGGAAGAGAAGACCAGCACCACTCATTGAAACACGGGTCACTTTTCTCCCCAGGGGAACACGGGCCTTCAGGGATGGTGTCCCATGGGAGGAGGGTCTCACTACTCATACCAAGACTTTGACTGTTGTTTACAGCTATAGGGTCTGGGAGGAGGCTGGGCCATGGGAGGAGGGTGGATGGGCTGGCTGGTCTAGCTCCTCATCTCATATTTAGCTTGGTAGTCTAGGGCTCTCAAGGACTTCCTTTTCATATATGTGGCTGAAGAATCAAAAAAAGTTAACGAAACATTTTAATGGCCTTGTCATTGCTGGTAGATAGCAGATAATGGTTTGTAGTTAGAAGTGAATTTCTTTCAATATGGCATGAATTTACATTGATCTCTTGACACCAGATATTTGAAAGTGCTGTTTCTTTGCATAAAATCTGACCCTATTGTAACATTGACACAATTCTATTATCTGCTTCATTTATTTAACCTATTTCATATTTGGTACAGAAGTACAGCCTTGGGAGCCCTAGTTAAAATGTATTTATGGGTTCTAGATTGAACACATTAGCATGGGGACATGTTTTCATCATTTCTAGATATTGAAAGGCTACTAGGCAGGAGTTTGGCCTATTTCCACTTATTGTTTGTTACAGCTACGTCATGACATGATATGGGACTTTGTATGCCTTTGATATATTTGTGAGTAGCTAAATGACAAGAAAACTTTCAGATATATTTCCAACAAGAGGCAAATACTATGTACTTCTTTTTATTTGCAAATATGTATACCACCATCAACATCCGAATAATGTTACATAGACACCTGTATGATACAGCTTCTTTCACTGGTTATCATTAGTCTACAAAGGTCAAAACTCCTGCCTGGAATAGCTTTAGTCAACATTGATATGACAGTAATGTACTGCAGAAGATATGCAGTTACTGATGTTTGGATTTTCTAAAGGGAATTGACAGTAGAAATTCACACAGATGTATCCCTGCAACAATTCAGAGAGAAGAAATCAATGCTAATGTGTACAGTCCTAGCTTTGTGTGTATGTTTCCCCAATGCTGTTCTTTGCTGAAAAACGTTGATTCTATGTTTGTTACACCACGCCTAATCATACCCATGAATGTTGAATCTTGCCATCCTTGTGCTGGCTAACATTGGACGACTGCCAATATTGAGTCTCCTCTCCTTTTCTGGGTTGGTTCTGAAGGGTTGGAGATAGTGCCCAATGGGATAACACTACCCACAGACTACCAGGGGCGCAGCACGGGGGAGGCTTTTGTGCAGTTTACATCACAGGATATAGCTGAAAAGGCTCTGGGGAAACACAAGGAAAAAATAGGGCACAGGTGGGAGGATGGTTGGTTTCACTGCCCCAGGGATATTCACCTTCTTGTGGGCTGTACAACTTTTCAAGCTGTTCTCCTATCTGACAGTGTTGGTTTTCTCCACTATGTTAAAGTAGCTCTTTGTTTCTAACTTTTTTTTGTAAGCTTGTATTATTGCTTGGTACCCATACATACCTGAACTTCAAAACAATCCCTTATTGTTATATTTGTTATACAAGTCAATTACTCCCAACTTAACTGTATGATGTGACCTTCTATTGGACAAATGGAAATGACAAATCGTGATGAGGATAGCATAATGAGCACTTTTGAAAGATATTTGTGGGTGAAGGGCAAAGCACAAGTTGCTATGTGCACTACCAACAAGAAGATGAGGGCTTAACTTACACATGTAGATATGGATTTTGTTTGCTGTTGGAACATTGCTTACATCTTGTATAGCGTTAGTCACCTTGAAATGTGCTGCGTTAGACAAGACACTGTTATGTTCCATTTACCTTCAGTAATGATTGTAAGTAATGAACAGAAGTTAACGTCCTAAACTTGGCTAAGGGTGCATGATGGCAGCTTACCAAACAGAAGTAGTGTAGTTGTAGAAGAGGTTGTCATGTATTTTGTCATATAAGTTGGGAATGTGAGATACCAGGACGCAGGATTTAGATAACATCTATGCACGTTAGCATTATAGAAAACTGGTAACTAGGGCTATGGTCCTTTTTGCAATTGAGTAGGTTTATGAATTATTGTTGATTCTCCACAGGTACATTGAGATCTTCAAGAGTAGCCGGAACGAGGTTCGCGAATGCATGAGCCCCAAGCCGCGCCCTCTGATGTCCAGCCGCCCCGGGCCGTACGACAGACCACCCCCACGTGGGTACGGTGGAGGCGGCCGTCCTGGCATGTACGATCGGCGCATGCGGGGAGGAGGGACTGGCTACAGTGGCAGTAAGTCCGGTCGATACTACTGACTTCTCTACACATCCATTGTGTGACTGAATAAACTGATTTGTTGTGAAAATGTCTACTTAATTTTAGGGGTTACTGGATGTCTCAGAGAAATATTTGTTTTTCCTTCAGATTTCTACCAGGACGACTATGATGGCTATGAGGACAGATACGACAACTATGGTGGTGGCCGAGGGCGTGGTGGCAGAATGGGGAGAGGCGGTAAGACCTCATGATTCTTGTACTGATCTTTCAATCTCTTTCTCAAGCATAAACTAAAGCATTATTCACCTTATATGTAATCTTACACTAGTGTGAAGTTGCAAGTTAACACTCTGTGTCAGTAGCTGTCCAAGCTATGATCTGGTTCAATTTTTACACTTGCAAGACAAAAGTCAGTCTATTATTCCCAGGTCTCCTCCCATGTGGAGAACTGATGCATAAGGCTGATACACATAAATATAGAGTAACATGTGGTACAAATTGATGTACAGTAATTTTGTATCATACTGAGTCATAGCTGGTAGTCCTTTAATGTGTGCAGCAATTGAAATATGTAGTGGGTTGATGGTAAAAATTAAGAAATTGAAGTGTTTTTTTCCAGGGCGTGGTGGTGGATTTGGAGGTGGCCGTATGTACGGGGGTGGATCAGGACACTTTGTTCACATGAGAGGACTGCCATTCAAGGCTGCTGTGGAGGATATTGAACAGGTAAGAAATCACACATTATATTGCTATTTCGTCATGTCTACAATATCCCTTTTGTTAAATGAATTTTCTTTTTTCATGCATTCTCAGTCAATTATACCGATGTAAAGTTGCAAGTTAACACTCTGTGTCAGTAGCTGTCCAAGCTATGATCTGGTTCAATTTTTACACTTGCAAGACAAAAGTCAGTCTATTATTCCCAGGTCTCCTGCCATGTGGAGAACTGATGCATAAGGCTGATACACATAAATTCTTGTGTGTCAAGATACCAAGGATGACTGGACATGTATCAAATACAAAATGTGTAATGTTAAAATTAGTGGGCAGGTATATGACAGTCCTGAATTGTTGTTTCTTTTGCTCAGTTCTTCCAGCCACTGGTACCCATGAAGATCCAGATCCACTATGGCCCAGACAAGCGTGCGACTGGTGAGGCTGATGTGGAGTTTGCCTCCCATGATGATGCTGTAGCTGCCATGGCCAAGGATAAGGCTAACATGCGTAAGTCAAAATATTTTGCCTTGTGAGAATCATAGTTTAACTTGTACATTGCATGTTATGCCTCTAAGTATTGACCAGAAAGAATGTTGTTCAGATGGGAACATTGAGTTCATATTTGTTGTATTGTTATTTACCTCAGAAAGAAGTGTTGCTTTTTCCTCAGTAGCAAATGACTGGCCTTTTGCTCTGTTGGTTTCTCTCATGCCATGGTAGATGTGTACTGTTGGTTTGGCGTACTGAAATGATTGTTCTTCCTTTCCAGAACACCGGTACATCGAGCTGTTCCTGGACTCGGAGGCTTCCTCTGGAGGAGGAGGCGGCGGTGGTGGCGGCAGTGGTGGAATGGGGGGCGGAAACTTTGGAGGTGGTCGCAGCAACATGGGCGGAGGCATGGGGGGGCACAGTGGGGATGGTGAGTCTTCCATCTGAACATGGCAGTCTTGACATTGTCCAAAGGACATTTTGTATAGGAATTGGATGGGGATTTTGTAGCATGCAGTAAGTAGCTTAGCTATTCAAAGTAATTTCTTGTAGTCCAGTACAATAAGCTGTAATATACAAAGCATTTCATGATCTAGGGAATTGATTCTGGGATTTTATACAATACGCAGAATGGTGTTAGACTAAACTTAAGACTGGAAAATGTTGTCTTCTCTTCCAGGATCCACAGGAGGTTTCGGCCAAGGCAATAGTGGTGGATATGGTGGGCTCATTGATACCAAAATTTTACTGTCCTGACTCACTAACCTTTTTCTGGTAACCTTTACCAAGTCTAACAGCCCACGCAGGAGTAGGAGTGTAGAGTGTAGTCGGGCCACAGAAACATGGTTTTATGGATAACGTTCAGCTGATTCTGATCTGCATTCATCAATGGTTATAGCATGGTCTTAAATTTTAGCTCCTTAAATTTAAGGGGATTTGTGGGAACTCAGGCATTACCATGTTTTATAGTTTTTGAACTGTGGAAAAGTACTACAAGATTTCATTAGGTACTAACTACAGACCAAAAACGTCGTCCATGAAATGAGCTGTTTGTGTGGCCTCGTGTCTGGTACCTGTCTTGTGTCTGTCTTCTGTGGCTGTTTTGATGGAGTGAAAACTGGTGGAAGTTTAAAGTTCAGGTGTTTAGATTCAAGCAAAGAGTAAATTGTAAGGTATTGAGAGTTGATGGCTTATTGGATTGCTTATGTAACTACTTGTTGTGGACATTGAAAGCTCACATTGTAAGTTGCTGATGTCTGTATGTTGTTGTGTGTTCTTCTGTAGGCGGTGGAGCTGGCTACAGTCAGGGAGGCATGGGGGGCTTCGGAGGGTTTGGTGGACAGGGAAACATGTCACAGGGTATGAACCAAGGTAGGGCCTCTTTGTCACAATCAACTCTACATAAGATATGACAGCAAAATACAGTTACTGTACTATGTCATCTAGTCATGTAGATGTTGTTTTAAAGAAGGCAATGGATGTAGTTGGCTCTTGAACCATTGACATCATCCTTTGGAAACACCAGCATCACATCACATGACAGGTAAGACATCTTGAAGAAATGTCTCTCACTCTTAGGGCATCTTCTTGGAGAAATGTTTCATTAAGGCATCCTCTTGGATCGAGGACCGGTCCAGATTCTGTGGCAAGAAGTCTTGAAAAGGCCAAACAAAACGACTCCAGCATAGCAATGAAAGGAATGATTGTCCTCAACATGATACAGTAACGATAAGCCTTGCATTGTGTTGGTGTGTACCCAGTTGAACATGTCCTTAATAGTTTGTAGTCACTGGATTGGAAGACATTTTCTCAATTTGGAAAACCTAATTACAATTTTAACCAACAAATTTAACAATTAAGCCTTAAAGGAACAGATTTTCTTTGGTCACCTTACTGTTGCTTGTTTTTTAACACTATATTAATAATGTTAACTTGTAGACTAAACTTGACGAGATTTCAGGTTTGAAGGAAAGAACAATGACACTGACCAGTGCAAGGCTGATCACTCCCTTCCCTCCGAATGAATTGGTATTAGAAAGTGTTCTGTTCTGTTGCACTGATCCCACCTCAACATCTGTAGCGCCAAGAAATAACCACCATGTTTTTGTTTGGCCTTCTTGAAGATGCCTCTAAGAACTTCACCCAAGGAACCAATGCCAATGGCAGCTTTGGGGCCTATGGTGCACAGGACTTGACCATGAACCAAGCAGTAACAGGACAAGGTACAACAATTCTTCAGCCTGTCACCCAAGTTCCATGTTCCTATTTTGTGTAGTTTGAATCAGATAATGTGCAGAATGTTGTTGTGCAGCAGCAGTTCTAATTGGCCTTGAAAGTGGTTCTCCTGACTTAGTATGGTGACATGGCCCAAAAAGGCTGCCTTGTGTCATGTTAATTATTGCCATCGGGTTTTTGTATAGTGGGACACAACCATTTGGTTCCACAGTTCCATGTGTTCTCTCCCAATTTCAGGTAAGGCTGTAGTAAGCAACTAATGTAACATTACTTTTTTGGGTGTTAAACAGATCCTAATTTTTTAAGACAAGTAAGGAGGATGTTTGCAAGTCATAGTGTTGTTTTGTTTAGAGTTTCCACAGGATTTTTGGTTCTACATGTATTTGTAACTGCCTCATACCAGACAGACAACCCAGCTTCATGTTCCCCCTTTGTACTTTGGTTACTTGTAAAACTAATCCTAAATGAATTGCCTTTCTGCCAGTGAAGGCTATTTACCACACTTTCTTTTAAATTGTCACCTCGGCACAAGGCATGCCAAGGTAATGAAAGGGGGAAACAGCAAGCTTTGGGTTAGCTGGGCAGACTTTGAAATTAACTGTACTTTGCATACATCTGTTTTTTCTCCAGGTAACATGGGAGGAGGCTTCTACGGCTCTGGGACTGGGGGCAACATGGGAGGCAACTACAACCAGCAGGGCATGGGTGGCGGCATGGGAGGGATGGGTGGAGGCATGGGTGGGGGCATGGGCAACATGGGCATGGGGAACATGGGCAGTCAGCAGGGCATGGGGTCTGGGAACATGATGGGGCAGGGGGGAGGCTGGGGCATGTAAGGAAGTCTTACTGATAATCGAGCAAACCCCGATGAAAGTTGTACATGTTATCACTTTGACTTGCCTGTCAACATGATTCAGTGTATCATGGTTGTCATTGGTCCTTTCCAAATAGAAGGGCACATTTTTTGTTGGGATGTATGGGAATTTAAGAATCTTCAATGGGGCTTGCTGTTCGAACTTATATTTCTTACAATTGTGAGGACATGAACATTGCTACTCTAGAAAGTTGAATATGTATACAAACTGACAATACATAATATAGCTGACAGTGCAGGAGTTGACTAATCAGTGTATTGTTGTGAATTAGTGTTTTTTTTACCAATAAATGCCATTCCCACTGATTGCTGGCTTGTCTTGTGTTTTCTGTGCTAGTAATATAATGATATATTAGACTGGACTTCAGTTATTTCCCAGTTTAATACCCTTGAATACCTATTTGGAATACCTATTTGAAACTATGAAATGTAAAAATCAACACTTGCGTCCCCATGTTGTAACCAATCACATCCATCTAATCCAGTCTTGTAATGCCTAGAACTTTATTAAAAATGGTGGCTTTTTCAAGAAGCTGGATAGTAATTGTAAACTCACCATTGCACACTACACTTGTCACTTTGTATTGACATTGGAGGATAGGGACTTTGACTTTGTTACGAAAGCATGTTATGAGTCAGTCTTGTTTTAATAACCTTATGTCAAATAAATTGAAGTGCTAACTTAATAACCAGACTCATCCGAAATAAGACAACAAGAAGCAATGATCATAGTAAATGCTGTTTAATAAGGAAGAAATGTATGAACACCTTGGTTAATAGTGCCAGTGCCTAGAAGCACTCCATCTAATGAACATGAGATAACTTGAAAAACTAACATTAGATTTTTACAGCTGCAGTAAACTTTACTCCTAAGTTTTCTGCTTTAACACATTAACCCTTAGCATGCTCTGGGTAAGGTTTGTCACATGGAGTTCTACCATACAACATTTACATACCAATAGCATGGTGAATATTTGAACTGACCAAAATGGCTGTCAAAGCTGAAAGTTATGGTAGGATACAAATAACCAGTATGACGCAAGTTCAGACTACAAACAGTACTGCTTATTGTATGATAAGGTCTTCAAAAGTTACAATACTCAACAAGTAAGTACAAAACTACTTTTTTTGGTTGATAACATCACAATATGAACAAACTGAAGTTGGTCAGAACATGGGTGGGAACAAGACATGTTGGACTAATATAGCAAACTCAACGCTTGCATATTACATTGCTCTGTTCCTATCCATGGTTTCTGGCAAAGATGATTGATGTCCTTGGAATACTGTTAAGTGTCATAATAGGCACACTATGTAAGTCGGTGTAAAGCGTGATGACAGCATGTAAAAATGGAAACAACACAGTAACGTTTCATGTTTTACCCAACAATAGGATACATCAAAGGTTCAAAGACATCAACAAAAGAAATTCCCCCCAAGTACAGATAAGTTTCAATGACAAAAACCAAATGTCTACTATCATCTTTTCTCTATGCTCTGAAGTAGAAAAACAAGATCTTTTGACAAAGTCAAGGTCAACGCTTTGAAATGGAAAATAATTCCATTGATAAGGGAAACGTTCATTTCAAAGCAAAAATGTACCAAATGCATAACATCTTTTCAGCACATTTTCCCAACGATCCAGGAAAAAGACGAACATCAAACAAATGGTACAAGTGACCTACAGCAATGGCTGCATTACTGCTTCACACCATTTTGCCTTGCTCTTTGCAAATTTGCTCCAACTCCAGAGCTTTCCTTTTGAAATCATTCAATACTAGAGACTTATTGGCGATGATATCATGCAGCTCTTGGGGACACCTGTCGCCCAGACGCTGCTTCATTTGTTGTATCTCTTCTAATTCTCTCATTATCTTGTCAATGCATTTTTGAAAGTAGCGCAGTTTGGATAGCTTCCCGCCGCGCTTGCCTCTCGTGCGCACCCGTGGCTGGTTCTGCTGCACGCTCGGGGACGCCGCGACCTGCGTGAGCACCACCTGCAGGTAGCTAGCCACAACGGGAGGCGGAGCGCCTTTCTGTCGAAACTGTCCGAGTTGGTCAAGCACCTCAGGAGAGCGCAGCACATCCTCAACTAAGTCTGGTGCCAATGGCGGAACATTGACTGTTGAGAGGAGGGACTTAGCTAACTCTACAGAAGCTTCTTCTTCTGTGTCATAAACATCTTCCTCACCATCACTAGTTGTTGCCTCAGGGTCATAAAGCTCCTGACTATCCTGTTGGGGGTAGTACCCTGGCCTATCATGAGATGGTCTAGGATCATCGTAAGCTGAACCCCTCTCTGAGTATCCCCTTCCAGGATCACCAGACCCCTGAGGACCAAACTGATGCCTACTTCTGGCCCACTCATCTAGCTCCCGCTCCCTTTCCTCTCTACCAGGGTACATTGGTTCCCGATCTCTGTAACTCTCGTCATAATCCCTAGGGCCTGGCCTTCTCCGATCCCATTCATCCAACTCACGTCGTCTACGTTCATAGTCATACAGTTCCCTCTCCCTCCGTTCCCTCTCATATGCCAATCTCTCTCTTTCATACCTGTCCAAATCTCTTCTTTCCCCATGATGCCTTCTATCAGGGTAGTCCTCCCCCCGCCTGTAAGGATCCCTGGGAGGGGCATCTCTCAATGCATCGGGGTGTGCCCGTCTAGGGGGATCCCTTAGAAGTCCTCTACTACCAGGGACATCATCCAACCCAACACCATGGCCTCTAGGCATTTCCCCCGCTAACCCACGACTACGGACATCATAACTATCAGGAGTATCCTCTGACAACCGTCCATATCTATCAGACTCTTCTGACACATTCCTACCCCATTCAGTCCTGACCTCAGCTTCTGATGGTTCCTTAGCCTGTGTCTGAGATGTACCTTGTACCCAACCCCCTAAACTCTGTTCAGTACTGGCAGATGCACTGCTTTTAGCCTCAATGGCTGTCTTTGCTGCCTGCACTATACTAGCAGCTGCCAACTCTGGCTGACTTGCAGCTAGGTCTGTGGGTTGGACAACCCCCATGGATATCAGCTGTGCAAGCAGCTGTACTTTTGCCTGGTCTGCCTGGGATTGCTGACTGCTGCCCGACCCATCCTGCTGCAAGCCAGCAGTTTGCGCTTGTTGTGTAACACTAGCCTGCTGCGCTCCCAATGTGGAAGCTGGTTGCAGCGCCGCAGTGTGCTGTGCTGGCTGAACGGTTGGTGGTGAGTCCTGGGTTTCACGCGGTTCTAAACCGTGCTCTCTATAGAACTTTTGGATCCGTTCAACCAGCGCAGGCTGCTTCAAAATCTGTTCCACTGCCTCTCGGGTTACTTCGTCAATCCCCATCTGCTCTTGTAGATACCTAGAGATAAGGTCCCATGTAGTCAATGTGGAGGGTTTAGGCTTTTTGGGTTCTGGCACGGCCTGCACAGTTTGCTGCACAGCTTGCATCAGGGGTACATCCTGTTTTACACCAACCACCTGTTGGACTACAGGTTTAGAGGGGGCTGGTGGTGTGGGTAAAAGAGTAATTTTAGGTGTGGGTAAAAGAGGAGCTTTACTATCTGCTGGCTGAAGGGACGAACTATCTGGGGGTTTGTCCCACTTGCTCTGGGTTTGGGAACTATCAGGTTTCGACCATGGGTACGGGCCAGTAGGCTTGACTGAGGCAGAATTTCCAGTAGACCATGGGTGGGTGGCTGGTGTGATACTTGATGTGCCAGAGCTAGCTTGGCCTGAGGACCATGGGTATTGGGCATTCCCTGTGCCTGAACTAGAAGTGCCAGTAGACCAAGGGGGCTGAGAATAACTAGTGGCTGTACTAGATTTACCAGTAGACCATGGATGCTGGGAATGACTTGGGGCATTTCCTGTTTGTGTGCTAGACTTGCCAGTTGACCAGGGGTACTGGGCCTGGGCAGTCTGCGTGCTTTGCTTGCCCGTGGACCAGGGGTACTGGGCCTGGGCGGTCTGCGTGCTTTGCTTGCCCGTGGACCAGGGGTACTGGCCCTGGGCAGTCTGAGTGCTTGGCTTGCCCGCGGACCATCGGTACTGGCCCTGAGCAGAAAAGGAGGCTGCGGCTCCCGCCTGTGGAAAGCCAGTGCTACCTGGCGGCGGTGGAAAAGTGCTACCAGGCGGCAGTGGAACAAGGCTACCAGGGGGCGGTGGGAAAGTGCTACCTGGCGGCGGCGGTGGAACTGTAATAGGGTAATGCTGACCAGTGTTCGCTGCAGGAATAGGGTTGTAACCAAATTTGTTGCCAGCAGCTGCTGGATACGCTAATCCAGGCTGCTGTCGTAGTTTTGAGTCCTGGAGGGCAGCCCATTCAAGCTTCAGGCGCTCCTCTTCAAGTTTCCGATTCTGCTCCAGGATAGCCTTTTCTTCTTGCAGCTTCTGCTTCTCCTGTGCTAAGTACCGAGCATTCATCATAGTGTCCTGATACGCTCTATCCATCATCATCTCATGGTTGGACTTAGCTTTTCTGAGAGGGCTTCTGTCAACTCTGTATCGTCCGCTCCTTGAGCGACTCCGCCTACGTCGGTCACCACTACTGCTTCTGCTGCTGCTACTGCTATAACTACGCCTGCTGCGCCGATGCCGCCTGCCATCGCGGCCTCTACTTCTGCTTCTGCTTCTCCCCCTACTCCTGCTTCTACTTCGACTTCTGCCCCGATCTCTGTCTCTATGTCTTCTTCGACCCTGACTTCGGCTTCTGCTTCTACTTCTACTATGTCGTCTGCCTCTACCCTTATCTCTGCTTCTACTTCTGCTTCTACTTCTACTCTCCTTTTTGGTTAGGACAGCAGTTTTTCCCTCAGACGTACTCTTTACTTTAAACGAGATAGGCTTTACTTTGCCTCCATCTTTTTTAGCAGACCCCCCACTAGCAGTACCCGTACTGGCAGAACTGCCACCAGCAGAGACCTGCTGTTTTCTTTGACTCTTTTCTTCTTGCTTCTCAGGAGGTGGGCCGAAGTGGGAAAGCAGGGAATTCTCTCCTTCTGTCTCTGAAACAAAAACACAAAACCCCCAAAATGTTAAGGACATCCGAATTGAGTACTTGATCCTTGTACATTGCTGTACTGTCAACCATAAAACATCTATCGACTTTGTAATGTCATTTCTTGGATGGTCAGTACAGGCCTGCAATAAACCATCTTTTGATACATGACATTTTATTCGCTATAGAATTACGAGATTACAATATAAACTTTATAACACAGGGTACACAGTGGCAATATGCTTTAATTCTCAGACAAAATGGTGTCAAAAGTCTCTTCATCTGTGTTGCTGTAAAAGAGAAATATTTTTATAGAAGTTAGAACATTCATCTTAATTTCTGCTATGATTTTATGGTAGTGAGCATTCTCACACACCTTGAAAATTGATTGCAATTACCGACTTTTTACCGAATTTTTCTCATGAAAAGAAACAAATTAAGTTGACTGCCATAAAAAATGCCTGAAACAGATAAAGTGAGCTCGATGATATAGCTTCAAATTGTGTAATTCTCCATTTAAAAAAAAACTGCGACCCATGTCAGAAAATCTCTCTTTATAAAGAGTCATCAGGAGAAAACATAGAGCAGGTACTCAGTGCCATAGTAATACAAAATGCAGCACACAAAATCCCTTTCCTGTCGCATGGTGTTGATCCAATTCAAAAAAGGATGTTGTCCCCTGAAAAGTAAAAGAAGAAAGCATCAGCTTGAAAAATCTCTTCACAGCAGGAAAAATAACTCACTTGCACGAACACGCTGGGCCTTCTTGGTTCCTTTTTGGCCCCCCCTGTGCTCCAAGCTGGACATGTCTAAGTCGTACGAGTGAGGCCCGGTCGTGATTTGGACGGTCGGCTCGTGATTTCGCGAAGCCTTTTCCAACAAAATGGTGTGGAGAGCCATGTACGGCATCCAGCATGTGAAGACACCCATCAATCCATGCTGCCACTGCCATGTGTAGTCTGGAAGAAAAAATCAACCATGTCTAGTAAAGATCTTCTTCTGGACTTTGGTCAATCTGCCCATCACTAAACGTGTTGCTTCTTAATCTTTTTAATGGTACATTTGTATGTGTATCTCAGACAAACTGAGATAGGGTAATAGACCTTTGTTTAGCTGACCAATTGTTATAACGTTATGTCATTTTATATGTCGGAGTTATCCCCTCAGGAATTCTGGTTAAATATCCTGGTTAAATAGATTCGCAATGCCTTCCCATATTGCATGGGGGCACTTAAAAATAACTTATGAATGAAATATTGTCAAGTCATATTTTTGAGATAAGCAGGAGTGAAATGGCCTGGAGTACAAATGATCTCTTTACATTTGCTGTTGGATGATAGTATATGTACTATGAGTAAGACTACTCTATCATCCAAACCATGTACTAGTATGGTACTTTCACGAGGAATGGTATCTATATAACATGGTACTGTCCCCCAAACATAGAGGGATCTTCTATTCTTACCTGTTCTACCTTTCTCCAATACAGCACCTAAAAACTTACCATTTTTACATACCATGTTTAATGGAAGGAACAATGACAAGAAAATGTTAAAGAATCTTGCTCTGATCCAAATGCAATCTAATCACCGATATGTTTTCTTTAACGGATTCCAGTCCAAACTGTTTTGTTGGCACTTCTTTCTATTTTTCACGCATATGTGTGCAAAAATTCAATGGTAGTGCAAATGGTAGCATGCTCTCATTGTTTGAAAAATATGGAGGTTTCTTTGTTTTCAGTGCTGTCCATTTATATCACTTACCTGCTGAAAAACAGGTGTGCTTTGATACCTTAATCTTACCTTTGTTATTAAGGTCGCTTTTGACGGCACAGCGCAGCCGTAGGAACAACTTGGACTTGGTGTGAAGGTCGGTGATGATCATGTTAGCCAGGTCCAGACATAAACACAGCTCTCCTGCTGACTTAGATGTCAGGTACACAACATCCTTCTCCTTCTGCATGGACAATACATATGTACATGTACAAGTGTTAACGTTTTAGTTAACTTATAAAATATGATTCACATTCAATGAACGTGCTCTGCTTTGTGTATCCCACTGTAAAAATTTCTTCAAAAATGCGAAGGAATCAAGTTACAAAGATGGGATGTCAGAAAGGGACATTCCAGGGGTGCACAGGTAGGTACTAGTTTCATGAGAGTCTAAAGGCTAACATATTCCCATCAAGTTCTGAGCATGGGGAAGTCTGACTATATACCTATACAAGGTCATACATGTAGCTACAGGCTACTACTACTACTACTACTACTACTACTGTCAGTCAGTCTTTAAAATATATCTGTGCAAACAACAGGATGGCTCAGTTCCAAATTGGCACTGCTACAGGCTATATTAAGAAAAAAAACTAGGGCTTTCATAAACAACGCACACATACCTTAACGGCTGCATTGATAATGACAGTTTCCTCCTTGGTGAAGCTGTACCATTTGTCCAACTCCATCTCCCACTGCCACGACAATGTTACACCGTCCAGTACATTGGCTTCTGCAGCTGTAAGGGAGACAAGTGCAAGTTCTTAACATTTTCCCCTAGAACTATCATAGAGTGGAACTCACTGACACCAAGTACAGTAGGGGCATCCTCACTAGATGGCTTTGAACAATGTTTAAGTCTATAAATGGAAGGACATGGCTGTATATTTTGACTGTGATACCAAAGACCTCATGACAGTGTGTAACTTACCCAGATCACCCATAACACTCCTCTTGAGTTTGACCAGGTGCACCCCACTCTGGTAGTGAGCTCTCAAGTCTTCCATGGACCCAATATCACCCTTCTCACACAGGCTACAGCACAGCAGACCTGATGGGACAATAAATACTCATTCATTTTTGAGGGACAGCATTATATGAAACCAGCATTACTTTCACAAACTATTGAGAAAGCATATCATTGGTAAGGGTGTAAAGCCTCTGTAGATAAAAGAATCCAACACACTATTGAGAATAGTAGTAGGTGATCTAGTGTGCTTGGCTAGCAATGTGAGCCATAGTGCAGCTGCATTGCTCTACTAACTACATGTACTTGTACTTGGAAATTTATCATGCTTCACCTCGATTGAGGATGATGTGAATAATACTCATCAGTAGTAGATCTTTCACAAAAGTACCTTCTGTTTGTTGGTTGGCTACACCCATCCTTTGCAGCAGTTTCACATGAGTAGGTGAGGTCTTGTGTTCTTCTTGTTCTTTCTCACTGGGAGTTGGTAGGAAACAAACAAGACAGGTTTGTGACTTGTCAAAAATATGTCACAAATGAAATGACTTATTATGACTAATTATGTACTTGCAAAGTGTCTTTTTTACCTGAGATGTAAGGCTCCACACGGCTCACAGAAAAGCGGGAGCCATGAAATGCCCTTCTCAGCAGCGTTGTCGGAATGCTTTGTGCCTTGGTAGTGCTCGACTGCATTGGGACGTCGGACTTTGACTTTACACAGTGGACATTCCACTAATAATTCTGCATGGATAGAGAGTATGGTTTACAGTGAGATGGGAAGAAAGGTGGCCTTTTTAATGTTGATGAATAAAAAACAAATCTCTTAGTCTTACACATGTATAAGGTATATGTTAGTACATTTTTGTGCTTAGAAAAACTACATGTTAGCACATAGTAAGAGTGAAATAGCAACTGTATAAAATGGAAATGTGATAGTATATAATTTTTCAATCTATATATCTAATACTTACCTCCAAATATTGAAAGTTCAATGTGTTTGACATTGTTGTAGTGAGTCTTGGTGAGCCATGCTCTGGTTTTCATCTGGCAAACTTCACACCATATCCACTGATCAGCCTTCCATTCAACCGTCTGTTTCAATCTGTCATACCGTTCTTCAGAGGCAGGTTTTTCCTTTACTTCAGCATCAGTAGAGGTTGTAGAACTATCTTGGGCAGCAGCTTGGGCCTCAGCAGCTGCAGTTTTGGCACTGCGGTCATGTGTCCTTGTAGCCACCCAAACCTCTGGTTCCATTGGGTCAGGTTTTGGCTCTTTCTTTTTCCTCTTCTTCTTTGCCTTGGTGGCTGGTTGCTCCTGTGCAGACTCTTCAATTTCCTTCTGTTGCTCAGGAATGTCAGTCTTCTGCTCAGGCTTCTGTTGCTCAGGAACATCGGTTTTCTTCTCTTGGGCTTGTTCATCTTTCTCTGTGGGTTTCTTTCCATCCACTTGCTCCCATAATTCTGCCTCAGGAGACTCTACCTTCCCTTCAGTTGTGGGAGACTCGTCTGTGTCAAGAGCCTGGTCAAGCTCCTCCAGCCCTTCAAGTAAAGCTTTCGGAGAAGCCTGTTCTTCCACAGGTTCTTTTGGCTGCACCTCTACTGGCTCAGGTTTCTCCTCTTCCTTTGCCACCTTCTCCACCTTAGTTTTCAAGTGGAGTTTGATCTTACTGTCTTCTGCAGGCACTTCAGACTGCTGAGGCTCTTCTTTACTGTCTTTTACCTCTTGCACATTTGTTGGCTTTTTCTTGTCATCTTGTCCTTCACCCGTAGTAGTAGCACTTGGTGCTGCCTCAAGCTTTATTCTCTTAGATTTAGGCATCTCACTTTCTTCTCTCTCTTTCTTCTTCAAATCTTCATTTCTCTTTTTAGCTGTTGCCCAAGAAGGCAAGAAGGTATGTTGACTTGGCTCAGTCTCTATTTTGTCTGCAGTTTTGACTTCTGATGATTCTGGCTTCGTCTCCTCTTTGATGCCAGCACTTCTCCCTCTGCGCCTGGTAGGAGCAGCTGCTGTCACAGTTTCCTGTGGTCTACTTTCAGCATTTTGGACTTTTTGCTCTTCAGACTTTTTATCTTCCTTCTTTTCTTGCTTTTCAAACTTTTTATCTTCCTTTTTTTCTGGCTCTTCAGACTTTTTATCTTCCTTCTTCTCTGGCTCTTCAGACTTTTTATCCATCTTCTTTTCTGGCTCTTCAGACGTTTTATCTTCCTTCTTTTCTGGCACTTTCAGACCTTTTTATCTTCCTTCTTTTCTGGCACTTTCTGATCCTCTTTGGATGCCTCACTAACAGCAGGATCCATTTTACTTGTTGCCTCTGCTTCCTCCACACCTAAAGCACTTTTTGGTACATCCACATCATCATCACTTGACTGTTCTATAAATGTTGCAATGGCGGCCTCCAATCCTGAAGTGTCTTCACTTTCGTCATCTTCATCATTGGTTTTCTTGGGAGTATCCTGAAAGAAAGTGAAGGAAAGAACCAACATTAACAAGTGTTAACTACCAAAAAAAAAGGAAGAACATCACTGCACTGTTACCTCCTAATTTTTACAATCAGATGTCAATCTCCAGCTGACCTGTTCACCAGGCTCAGGTGAGATGGCAGCTCTCCCTCTTCCTTTGCCTCGTCCTCTACCCCTGCCTCCTCTGCCACGCCCCCTGCCCCGCTGGCTTGGTCTCCCTCTCCTTGGGGAGATCACAGTTGCCTCAGATTCAGTTGTGGTGCTTTCAGACTCCATTTCTTCAATGTGATCCCCGCTGGGTGTTGTGTCCTGTTCTTCTTGGGTCTCTGATGTTGCAGGCTGTGCAGCTGATTTTTCTGGTACATGTTCCTGCAGACAAAGTGCTTCTGTTTCTTTGTCTGGTTGAAGAGGGGTATCTTTTTCCACTGCTGTTTTCTCTGGTGCAGATGATTTTTCTGGCACGTCTTCCTGTGGACAAGGTGCTTCTGCTTCTTTGTCTGGCAGAAGAGGGGTATCTTTTTCCACTACTGTTTTCTCTGCATCTTCAACTTCCATTGGTTCATCCTTTCCTACTGTACCCTTTGATGGCTCAGGCTCTGATTCAGGTTGAGATTTTTCTGACTCCAATGGTTCTTCCTTTTCAGCTGTATCAGAAGATTTCAGCTTTGCATCTATGCCTGCTTCTTGTGCATTTGCTGCACCCAAGTTTTGGGGCTGCTGTTCCTCCTGATGATCCATACTGGCTTCTGGGAAATCTGTGTTTGCATCTTTCTCCTCGCCATCTTCAGATGCCGTTATTGTTGCTTCAGGTGGTTTTGGCTCCTCTACATTGGATTGTTTCTCCTTGCCAGCCTTGCCTCTGCCTCCTCTTCTTGAGGGACTAATGGTTTCTTCCTGTTCTTGAGTAGATGGTTCTGCTTCTTCTACTTTGTACATCTTTCCCCTTCTTCTTCCTCTTCTTGTCGGAGCCTCGGAATCTTCAGACACCTCAGGTTTGGATTCAAGTGCAGGCTCTTCTGTCTCAGTTGATTCTTCCTTTTCTGCAGTTGGTTCCAGATTGGTAGCCTCTGGGTCGGCAGTCTGTGTGACCTCTGTACTTTGTCCCAGATTCTGGGACAGTAACTGTTCTTCCTCTGTTTTTGGTTTGTCTGTTTCAGGCACATCTTTACTTGTACTCTCTTCCACTTCTCCCTTGCTGTCATCTTCAACTGCCATTGGATCGGCTGATTTTGGCTCCTCTTCATTGGGCTGTTCTTGTAGATTTTCTTCAGGTGGATTGACAGCCTTCCCTCTCCTCCCCCTCCTGGTAGGACTGATGGTTTCTTCCTGCTCTGGTACAGATGACTCAAGTTCCTCAGACGTCATAACATCCGACTTCTGAGACACCTTCCCCCTTAGGCTCCTTCTTCCCCTCTTTGCCGGGCTCTCAGAATCTTCAGTTGTCTCACTCTCAGATAACTGTCCCCGTTTTCTCCTACTTGATCGTGAGGGACCAGCTTCCTCTTGAGACTCTGAACTCCATGGCTCTACTGTTGATTCTGATGGAATGTCTTCCAATTGGCTGAGAGCTTCAGACTCGTGTTGCTTGTCCTCCTCCTCAGGATTGTCTGTGTCGGTGGACTGCTGCTCCTGTATAAGGAGAAACACAGATCAGGAAGCTGTATGCCTCAAGACTAGGGCAAAATCCAATAAATTATACTAATGTATCCGTAAATAATTTCATCAGGTTGGTAAACAAATGAATAGCAAAGTTCTTCGGTCACAACCATTTATTTTTCACAAGCCGACGTTTCGATGACCGTCTGTCATCTTCATTGTCTTATACTAATATAGTCATACCATCTGATCTTTTAACTCCATGGTCATACCCAATACCAATGTTGCAGCAAACAATACAAAGTAGACATACACATACATGTACAGTATATCTTACCTATTTTCCTAGGGAAGCTTTCTAAATACTAGTGGTTCATATACAAAATTATGGCATCAAATTCTTTCTAGCTTTACGCTATAACCAACTACTAGTACTTGCCAAAGAGTCCTCTTCTGTGTCTTCTGCAACTGCTGCTCTTGTCCTCCCTCTGCTGGCACCTCTCCCCCTCCCCCTTCCTCGCCGACCACCCTGCAAAAAACAGTTCCACATATCATACACACAACACAGGCTATACTGACTTTGCACACTGGTAACATCTAAAGAATATTTAGAAAAATTAACGTAGGATTTACGCGTACGCTCGTACATCACCTGTATAAAACATACCGCTGCTCACTTAAACATGGGGTGATCTGGTGGTAAATTATCCGGGTGAAAGTGACATGGGGCCAATTATCGTCTAGAAGGTCTAGAAACCACCTTGCACACACGATCTTCTTTGTGTGCACGTGTGTCAAGCTTGAAGAGTTTTGATTTCGACATGCGCAAGCTGCATAATATGCATAATTTCATAGTTGACTTGTGAAATCTTTACACCAAGATATACCGTCCACTTTCTTTCGTGTCTGACATAATTATTCTGCCGCAACGTGCAATTTATTCATGTTGGCGCGGAATTTTCTCCCGATGCCCCCCCTCCCCATCCCATCGAGCTTTCCATAGCAAATTATGCAGAACTAAAGCTATTTCCTACCCTAGCCCTGGTCATCTTCCTTCTCTAAGCTGTGTAGGCAACACTGAATCGATCCTTGAGTGAATCCACCCAGTAGATGGTCCTCAAAAGGACATGCCGATTTCACAAATCTTAGAAAATCTTACGGCTCCGCCGCGGCGACTCAAAAAATCACACGCTTCGGGCAAAGAATAATGGGATACATGGACTATTCCACATGACTTACGGGGAATAACACGAACATTTTAAAGTAATAAAGACATTAACAAATGTTGAGGGATACGGTCAGTGATATTTTGAGTGAAAAGTTTTGAACTATCTTTTGAAGTCAGTTTCTTTGTTGCTGTGAGTTTTTCTGTTTTATGCATGTTATTTTACCCGTAAAGAAAGGAGTGGTGGATTCCACCAGGCAACATTGTTCCCATGGGACGAACTTTCTCCTGGTTGGGGACGAAGTTCAATAGCACTAAAGTGAAGGGTGTTTTTGCATGCATGTCTACTGGCTAGCGTAGAAAAATCGACTGTAAACTATTAGAAACTAGAAAAAAATTGACGTCCTCGCTGCAGTGAAAAGGCTGCACATAGAGTGGAGCGAACAACAAACAGTTGAGTTTAATAGTAAAATTCTTTTATTGATTTGTCTATAAATCTATAAACGTTAAAATGGATTATAAGTTAACGTTGTTTCAAGTTCTTGTTGACAAAATGAGCCAGTTGTTCAGCCATGCCAGTGTAACAAGATCATGTGTATATGTGTGAGACGATGTTTTGATACCCATGATGGTGCAAAAAAAGGACAGATTGTACTATGGTACGCAGTCAAGCTAGAGGTCAATGACCGGGAGGGCACTACCTAATGTTAGTTCTTGGAGGCGTTGACTTCTAGAGCCTGGACTTGTTG